TCTAAAATAATATTTATCAACCTCATAACCTGCCTCCTCTAATATATCCTTTATTTCCTCATTTGTGAATCCTAATTTTTTAACGTCGTTAGTCTTGACACTCATTTCATACAAAATAAAAATAAATTTTCATAAATGTAAGACATGAATTTTTAAAGTTTATTTTTTAAAAAAATTATTTTTTATTTCATTATGTATGGGCTGAGTGTAAATGTCTTACAATTTTGAAAATTTTTTAAATCTTGATTTATTCAAAAACGTAAGAATAAAAACCGTAAGAATCATACATTTTTTACTTCATATGTTAAAATAAATGATACAAAATCGTTCTATATTGTATGAATTCTTACGTTTACAAAAAAAGTCACACAACCCTTCAACATATACTACTATACTGATATAAAATAAAAATCTTTATTATTTATTTAACCTTTATTGTTTCATTAAACTTCATTTATTTTATATTATAGTTTTATTCTTTTAGCTACTTGTAAAATAATCTAATTTTATATCATCATTTTACCGGATTATTCTTCAGTGCATCGATTGTGTATCTAAAATAATATCATTATCCTTATTCTGTTTTTTCCAAAATTCTTTTAAATATCTTTTTTGGTTAGATTACTTTATACTTTTTACTTTTATTTTTTAATTTCAAAAAAAATTTGGTGATTGTTCTATTCTGTTACAATGTGCTAGGGTTGTTAGATTCCCGACGATAGGTGTCTTGGAAGATTTGCCTGGTGTCATCATAGTGTCTTTAAATCAAAAATTTTATTTTGGAGTTAGTTTTATTGATTTTTCAATAAAAAACATTTCTAAAACAAGAAAATAAAACGATAAAATATTTATATTTTATATAAGGATCTTATATATTTAAAATAAATATCATTTTATTTTTTTCATTGGTGTCTGTCAAACCATAATACACTATTCAAAAATTCAATGTGTCTTGCGGTTTCAAAAGACACCTTCAAATTGAACGATAGCACAGACACTATTGAATTTTACCCATTGTATTTAGTTTTTACCCTTTTTATTTTTAAGTGTTGTGCATGAAAATTCGGTTCACTTCATTTCTGGCAAAAAGTGACAAGTTTACATGACAAAAATAGTTTACATGGCAAAAATATATAGGGTATTTTTTTTTAAAAGTAGTTATCTTTATATATAAAAATAAAACTTTTGATATATTTGAGTAAATGATTTATTAATTTATTTATTTATTTTTTTTAAATCAAATCATATAAATATATATATATATATAATAGTGAAATAGAACAAGAGATAATTATTGATGATTAAATTGTAGACGAGGATAAAAGTTTAGATAAATTAATAAAATTAGTGTGGAATCAGACAAATTTCGGGTTGTTTGGGAAGGAATTGTTGGCTATGATGTACTGATTCATGATCAGTACATCATAGCCAACAATTCCTTATACAAAGTTCAAAAACTTGGGTGCAATCAGAACTGATTGCACCTAAGTTTTTGAACTTTCTCGAGGGAATGAAAGGGTAAGAGGTATACATTATGAATATATACCTCTTACCCTTCCATTCCCTCTCTGACAGCGGGAAACTTTGTCTGAATGTTAAACTATTCAGACAAATTTCGGGTTGTTTGGGAAGGAATTGTTGGCTATGATGTACTGATTCATGATCAGTACATCATAGCCAACAATTCCTTATATAAAGTTCAAAAACTTGGGTGCAATCAGTTCTGATTTTCATTTGGCAGATCCACTTCTTGTCTTTCCATTTTTTTTGAATCAATTTATACAAATAAACTTATAAAACACAAAATTATTATTTTATAATATAATTCTTAGATAATACATCCGATATGTAAAGTGTCAAAAATGAATTGAACCGAATTTTCATGCATTACACTTTTTATTTTTAAGAATTAATGACTGAAACAGCCGTTTTGCTATGACCTCAATCACTTTTATTAAGGGTTTCGTTTTGCGAAAAAAACGTACAATACGCAATTTCGCTAAAAAACATTTAGCTAGCAATTTCGACCTTTGACTCCACTCAAGACGTCACTTTTTTAATTTTGCGGTATCATATTTTTGGAAAATCTTTATGAATATTATATAAAAAGTCTCTTTAATATCTATATTTCATATTTTTATCGATTTTTAAAGTTTTTGCGAAAAGTATTCAATTATTTTTGCTATTTGGTCGGGTAAATGTCAGATTTGCGACATTTTCTGATATGATATTCAGGTTCTACGTTGATAATAATGCTTATAGTGTTGCATGCTAAGATCAGTCATAATGTAAACCTCTCAATTTTATTGTCGTGGGAAGTATCTCAATTCCTTCAAAAAAATTGAAAAACTATTTAATTTTAAAAATATAATACTTTTAATTAGTTAATTAATTGGAGATATTTTTAAAAAATCACTTTTGATAATACTTTTGAGAACTTTAATTCAAAAAATATATTCAAAAATATCCAGGATATCAAAAGGGAATTGTTCCTTATGAGGTATATAGTTATGATGTATACCTCATAAGGAACAATTCCCTCCTTAAAACGAGAAAACTTGTTCGAAATTGTTTATCATTTCGAACAAGTTTTCTCGTTTTTAATAAGAAACTAAAGGCTATGAGGCATTGATTATATATATTAGTGCCTCACAGCCTTTAGTTTCTAATAGATAGCTGGGAAACTTTCTCCAAATGATAAGTTATTCAGAGAAAGTTTCCCAGCTATCAAGAGGGAATTGTTCCTTATGAGGTATATAGTTATGATGTATACCTCATAAGGAACAATTCCCTCCTTAAAATCGTAGACATTTTTATACTTATTAATCAACCATTCAAAAATCATTCCTCTGAAAAGTTATTTTATTAAAAATTTAGAATTTTAATAAATATAGAGTTTCAATTTCATACAATACCTATATATTTTCAATAATGGAATTTGAAAACCATTCTCAAAAGTTCTCAGAAAACCTTTTTTTCATTAATTTTAAGAAATCTGAGTATTAAATTAAGTGATAAATTCGTTTGACACTACTTTAATTTTTAAATTCAAAAAATTATATGTGCTTCTTAAAATGACTCAAAAAATTTTATTATAAAATAATATATAATATTAAAAATCCCACAACATTTTTTTACTTTACATAATCGTACTTCCTCGACGATTAATTTCCACTCAATTTCTATCATTGACCGAACTTAGCATGCAACAATAGAACCCTTTTGCTATTGTGTCAAAATTGCGAAACCGATAGCAAAAATATCTCGCAATATCAAAATTGAGATATTGAGTGAATTCTGCATTATAGAGATTAAAAATCTGATTTGTGAAAACATCTCATCAGTTTCTAGCTAATTCAAAAATCTTTACTATCTTATTCGATTAAAATGAAAAGGGAATAGTTTCATTATGCTTTAAATGACAGCCTTATAATATAATCATAGTTTTCGCTCAATATGCAGCATTTTTTTTTCGAAATCTATGGTCAATATCCTAAATACTGATTGCTTTGCATTCATATCTCTTACATTTTCTATACCCACATCACTATTCATTGCTATTCCTATCTTTTTCATTTTTGTTTGTTTCTCATAATTTCTCAAAAAACACGATAACTTGATATTTGTAAATATCATACTTTATAACGTAAATAAGAACTTGACCTATTAAGAAAAGCAGTAATGAAAAGAAAATTTGAAATTCATAAAAATTACAAGTTTCTGATGACAATTAGCTTAATTAAACCAGGTACAAGATTATATAATTGTATTTTCTATCCAATTATCCATATAATATCTTATCCAGAAAAAATAACTTGATCAATACCAAATGATTTTTTAACTAGTAAATAAAGTATTTTCTTTACACACACATTGTATATCATAGTTTTTTCTTTGGTTTCGCAAAACATCCAAAAACAAATATGCTATAAAAGTGACAATTTTAGCAAAACGAAACCCTTACTTTTATTTATTATTTTAAATATTATTTAATTTTATTATTTGAATAGGCCAACTTATATTTGAGAAGCTCAATTTGAGACCACTTAATACATTGAAATATCATAAATATTGAAATATTAAAAAGTGTATTTCAAAATATTGAAATTATAAAAATTTATAATACTGAAATTGAGACAAATTAATAAATTCAATGTGTTTTTTTTTGAAATAACTCTCAAATATTATTTTTTTGTTTATTTAATGATGAATAAATATGATTGCTTTAGTCAATCATAAAAACTAATTTAAGTTTAAAATAATGAAAGGATAATTTGATCGTTTTTTAAAATACAATTATTTTTGATGATTTGCAAGAATCTTTGAAAAGAATATAATATAGGTTCTATTTTTGTAAAATTTATCCAAATCATGTATTACATAAATTACGATTAAAACGATGAAAGAACCAAAAAGTGTGTTTTGTGTTTTGTTGTTGCGTGTTGGATGCGGGATCCTGTTATTTCCGAAATCGACAAAAAATTTGGAAATTTAATTTCCGAAATCGAAATTATATTAATGTTTTTAATATTCTTATATCAAAAGGATTAAAGTTCATTAAGAGAAAAACAATTCTTCTTCTTCAATCTATTGGCGCATTTATTTCTACACGCCAATAAGGAAGGGAAAATTATAAGACACTATGGTGTCTTCAAAACGCTAATTTTTGATATTTTTAACAACCCTACAATGTGCATTATCATATTCTAATGAATTATTCATTACATACATTTAAAAAAACTTGTTAAAAATGAAATTAAAAAATTATGTTTATTATTACGCTGTGAATGTGTCAACAGCGGTCATGCCTGTATCTGTATCCCATATTTGCCACAACCTTTCTGTATCTGCATTTGTGTATTTCGGTTTCAGCTGATACATTTGATTTGGCGTGTAATTTGTTCCAGTTAATGGATTAATTGGGAGATCTTCATGCGGTGTGTTATTATTGTACTCCCAAATAAAGGCAGGAATAGCCTGAATGCTTTGGCAGCGCTCCAATGTCGGCCAGAATCTCTCAATCTTCCCATTTTGGCAGGGAGAATGAGAGTCTGTATGCCGCCATTGGGCGCCCCAAAGATCAAGTAGATCTTGAAAGAAATAGAAATGCACTTTTATGCTGGATGGCAGAAAACTGGGAGCTTATTGAACCGAGGATTGGAGATATATTCCTGTTGCTTGATAAGAGTAACGACGAATATTCAGCTAACAACCAGGATGATGAAATCGAATATGATTCATCCCCAGAAATTAAAGATGAGGAGCCATCTCCTATAGAAACTAAGAAGGTAATAATTCCTCGTATAGATGAATTTATTTATTCAGTGGGTCCTACAGCAGGTTTTATTTTAGCAGATCTTTTGAATCCGGATCCTTCAGATATTTTACAACTTCTTAATTTTCATTAATCTATTAATTGTTATATTTGTGTTTTATGCAATTTTTAGTTATTAATTAAAATTCTTCTCAAAAGAATCAAAATTATTTTTCTGAGAGCATATTATCATTTGTAAATCACCATTCTGCTCAATTTAAAAGCCAGTGAAAGCTAAATTTATTAGATTTATCCCAATTAATCAAAGAATTTCAATGAACCTCATTAGAATATGTCGATAAACTTAAAACTGCGGTATTTTAGTAATGAAATAATGAAGGAAATTAGGTTTCTTGATGATTTATAGAAAATAAATGAGATTTTATGAATGTTAAATTTATTAGTGGCGTTGATTCAAAACTAAAGGTAAATTTATAATAATTATGCTCTAAAACTACGAAAAATATCAGTAAAATAAGGAATTATTAAACATTTTTATACAAAACAAAATAAGACACAAAAATAAAAGATTTATTTCTTTCCATGGTTAAAAATTTTTGTCCGTATCGCTTTAATAGCGTTCTTTCCAAATTTTCCTTGCATTAATTGGGTACCCTCAATTTTTAACTTTTGCAACTCCAAAAACCAGGTGTTTTTCCAGAACTACCATCTAGGATGAGTCCTAGGAGCTATAATTCTAGGGTTAGATGATACCCACTTAGTACTTTTATTTGTATATGTTTTAGTGGAATTTGGTGAGGGGTCATGAAATTCGTATCTAATTTGCTATCATCTAAGCTGGTAAAAGTTAGAGAAAGCTATTTACTGGTTGTATATTACAAATATACCTTGTAATAGAAAATATAAGTGTTTGTGATTTAAATTCGCTCAATTAGCTCGAAAATTTGTTTTATATCCATGACAAACTAACACAATCCTATTTATTTGATTGCCAATCTGTTCCCAAAATATATCAGCATGAATATATATATATTGATATTATTTGCAATTTCATCATTAAATAGTACTTTTTTTCTATTTTTAATTTAGAAATAGTATATTTATATAATAGCGACACAAGATTTTAATTCAAAAATATATGTTATCGATCATCACACTCAAATTGAATTTCAAAAATTTTAGAATTTTTCAATTTCAATATTGAAAATATATTTCTTATATCATAGCGATTCATGTTATAATAATATGGAGAAAAATATTGTTTTAAATCTAAAATTTAAAATGAATGATTGGGCATTACATTAATCCAATTTATTGTTTATTTGTTAATCTAGTGGAAACAATTAAGAGTAGGTGACAAAAGTGCATACTCTTAAATTAACCTTAAATGTTGATTTTTCGATATTTTCGGTATTAACCTTATTGTAATTTTTTCCGGTGATAAATTTATCACACTGAGGTTATTTTTCCGGTGAGATTTTTAACCTTGATTTAATGAAATTAATATATATAAATTTTATTATTTTTAATTTCGAATGAGTATAATAAAATATTTTTTTATATCGTCATAACTCTCATCACTGTTGTGATTCCAAATGCGATTATTAAGGTTCAAGTCGCTAATGTTTTGAATGAAGATAGAGCAGTAAGAATTCTTACAAGGGCAGGTAATCAGATTGTTGAGCAAAGAGCTTCAAAACACGATGAATGTTTGAAATTAATTCAACACATTTTGGAAATTGTCGAAAGCCGAAGGATTGAACCTAATGTCCTTATTCCATCTTTGAAGGCAATATTAAATTTGGCACAAAGAAGTTTAAAGGAAGAGTAAGCAAGATTAGATAATTTGGACTTTTTTTAAAATTAATGAATAAACAGTATATTTTTGAAGTGTAAGCTTATTTACCTGAAGCTATATTACTTAATATAACATTCAAAGTATTATTGCTATTTATTGGAGAACAAATTTATGTAATTTTCACATGAAAATTGATAAATTTGTATTTCCTTATGATAATCAATTTTTGTATTTGTAGAGAGTCTCCCTGCATGATATCAAGACTTGGCTATAAGTCTTTATCCATTTTTGAAAATTGTATTGTAAATTGTAAGAATTTCTGAATACTACTACTATAAAATATAATTGCTTATCTATGTATATTCTCCCTGCATGATATCAAGACTTGGCTATTAGTCTTTATCCATTTTTGAAAATTGTATTGTAAATTGTAAGAATTTCTGAATACTACTACTATAAAATATAATTGCTTATCTATGTATATTCTCCCTGCATGATATCAAGACTTGGCTATAAGTCTCTATTCATTATGAGTATGACCCCATTTTTTTTTACAAAAAGTGCCGAATTGCAACTTTGTCCCAATCTCGAAACAATTAATATTTTGGAGAAACAAAAATTTGAAATTTGAAATTTTGAAAAAAATGCATGAATCGGTAATTAAACATTGATTTATTAATTTATTAGCCATGCTTTTGATGTTGGTCTTATTCTTAAGCCGATTTAAAGAATTAATTTTTCCAAATCGTGTTTGACATTAACACATATAGATATATCAGGAAAAAAGGTATCACTTATCAAGTTATTGGTTTTTATGTATCTCCTAACTTTGCCTCGTTCTGAATACAATTCTAGTTAACGAATTTTAAATAACTATATGAAGAATACATCATTTGGTTTTATTATTAAAATGATATATATTAGCTATGTATATGCTTGTAAGAATATTATTCCGTGAATTGGAAACAGAAAAAATAAATTTAGACAGAAAATGCATATCTTTAAAAAATAATATGAAATTTAGCTTTGATATTATTATCCGATAAAATATGCATGATAATTACTCCGCAAATAAAATTTAGGAAGCAAGTTTTGACGGTTTGGGCGGTTTTCAATGGCCCACAAGGAAGGAAGTATCGTTTTATCAGGCAACAAGAGGTCTTGAAATGAGTAAAGGACTGATCACCCTTGAAAGGTTCAAACTTGCTTGCGCGCCGCAGTCTTAAAAATGATATGTTTCACTTCTGGTCGAAAATTTCAACCTCTATGACAGTTGTTGGATGAACAATTGTGTAGCGGGATGAAATCTGAGTGCGGCCTGGGGCTGCAGCGTCAATCTTCCCGGCATCTTTACCGCAATCATCTCTTAGATTGCACACAAAGTTGCGAACGAGCAGTTTTCTATGCGGTAAAGATGCCGGAAAAGAGAGTCGATGTGAGGTTCTTTTCGAGGGCTCCTCGAATGAGACACTGTTCCGCATTGATAACTTGAACGCGGAAGTTTGACCGACAAGAGTGCATTATGCACTCCTGTCGGTCGCAGTGTCTCATTCTGGGAGACATTGCCTCTGCATGTCTCCCAGAATGTAACAATGTTCCGCATTGATAACTTGAACGCGGAAGTTTGACCGACAAGAGTGCATTATCCAATCTTTTTTGTCATATACCTCAACTCACAAAGACAAAACCTTACAAAAAATAGGTAAACTTTGTTTTTTCACTTAATAATGTTTATTTTTAATTTTGTTCTTTATATAACTTTTTCTTCTACTAAACTATTTTTACAGACTCTACTGAGCTATCCTCACATATAAACCTGTGACAATAACACATATATACTCCCTTCATATTCTGATCTCATGACATATTACAGCACAAACTATAATTATACAACATACCTCATAAAGTCTGATTTTACCCCCATCTAAGCGTTCAAAACCTATTTTCCACACGTAATCTGATTCTTCTGGCTCCACTGATTCGATTTCTGCTGTCAGATCGTGAAAATATGCATCACACAATAAGATAAACACAAAACAACAACTTAATATTTTCCTTAAATTGTCAATTCCTCGATCTTGACATATTTTTATTTCCTCCGTTTCCCTCACAAATATATTTAATTTTCTGAATAAGACGTATAATAAAATGAATATCTTAAAAACTAAAATACAAAATTAATGTTGGGTAATGACTAGATATAGTATGCACTTTTGAATTCATACATTTTTTGAAAAAATTGTATTTTCAAAAAAAGATGTTGTTTCAGTATGAACTTGAAGAGAAATTTTAAGGAAAATATTAAGTTGTGTATTTTGTGTTTATCTTATTGTGTGATGCATATTTTCACGATCTGACAGCAGAAATCGAATCAGTGGAGCCAGAAGAATCAGATTACGTGTGGAAAATAGGTTTTGAACGCTTAGATGGGGGTAAAATCAGACTTTATGAGGTATGTTGTATAATTATAGTTTGTGCTGTAATATGTCATGAGATCAGAATATGAAGGGAGTATATATGTGTTATTGTCACAGGTTTATATGTGAGGATAGCTCAGTAGAGTCTGTAAAATAGTTTAGTAGAAGAAAAAGTTATATAAAGAACAAAAAATTAAAAATAAACATTATTAAGTGAAAACCAAAGTTTACCTATTTTTTGTAAGGTTTTGTCTTTGTGAGTTGAGGTATATGACAAAAAAGATTGGATAATGCACTCTTGTCGGTCAAACTTCCGCGTTCAAGTTATCAATGCGGAACAGTGTCTCATTCTGGGAGACATGCAGAGGAAATGTCTCCCGAAATGATACCGTCATACCAACACCAATTTATTCCTTCTTTCCATTGTCATACAATTCAATATTTTTATCAATCTTAATCAACTTTTTTATTCTTCTTTAATTCAATTTATCTTTCTCCTAGAATATCTATTCCTTTAACAGACATAAAATCACTAATCGAGCTTTTTCAATACTCAAAATTTCATATAAATCTTTGTTATTTTTTCTCTCATCGCTTATTTTATTAAATATACATATTTCCTCTCACATATCCCTCTTCATATATATTGGATCTCAACACTCATCTATTAGAACAATATATTTTCGCTTAATCTCATATTATTCATTAACAATCTTTCATCTTCTTATTTCTAGTTAACCTACCAATATATATATAGAATATATGCCCAATTACATATTCAGATACATTAAATTCAAGAAATTCTTCTAATATTATTCTCCTATTCATAATAAAATCATATTTAGTCTCACATCACAATTCTATCAGTTCTCCAATATCATATTGGTAACATCACATATATCTCTTATAATATCACTTAAATTTGTATTTTTTTATTAATTATATTTAATTAGTTCTACATTCTATTATTATAGAGGTTTGACAAACTCATCAATAGTTAAAATCAAAATCTATTCAGAACTTTGAATCTAATGAAAATTACATTTCGATATCTTTTTGCAAGCTTAATTTTTTGTATTATTTTAAAATACATTTAGTAATGTTATGTACGTATTGAATTCAAATTATAGCGCAGTAACATGCAACTCATCTTGAGATTCACATTTCATTTTCACAATTATTGCATATATACATCAATAACATATTGCACTCATATATCTACACGACTCTAAACTCAATGACATCAAATAATGCTTGTAATATTTAAAATAATTTTTGCATTTTTGATTCTCAGCTTAACTTCTATAAATGTCACCAAAACATTTCATTCCTACCAAGAAATATTATATTAGTAATTAAGCGTTTATTACCATTGTTACTCACATCATATTAATTCATTTTTGTAATTTTTTAAATAAATGACTGGAATCATAAACCCTATGTACCCATATCAACATGTTAAAATTTCAAAGTCTGAAACTTAGTATACATTGAGTTTCATGAAATCAGATAATCTCGTAGATTTCTTAAATATTATATATTGCTGGCCAATAATGATGCAGCATGATTCTCCATCATATCAGCATTCTAAACATATCTTTATTTTGTCAATTGGCATAAATTAAGGGTGCTTTTCAGGCGATAAATGGTATTTTAGATACCTGGGTAGGGGGTCATGAAAAAGTTGCAAAAGTCAAAAATTGAGGGTATTGAAAATTCACTATCCACAGTTTTGAGAAGTTGTTTCCCATATAGGATATGCGTTTAGTTTTTGAAATCTTTAGATTAATTTTTTCTATGAATTAGAAGTTTGAGATTAAGTCGGTATTTCTTCAAAAACTATTGAATTATAAATTTTGAAAATTCAGAAAAATAACTTATAGACAATAAAATAAATATCTGGTGATGTGAAATTTTCTGACAAATTTGATATAATCAAGTTACATCATTTTTTTCAATGCTCGATTTATAAAAACAGTTCAAAAATGGAGCTTATATTGAAATAGTGTAGAGACTAAGAATTATCACAGACTATTTCAGAGGATTGAGTTGTCATTCAATCCTCTGAAATAGTCTTAGGTAATTCGAAAAATTTCTTAAGATCTAACTGGATTCGAATTCCATTCATTGAAAGAGTTCTACTATATCAACGATGAATGATTTAAATCTCATGAACGATTAACTTCCATAAAATCTCATCTTATCTGAATATGTCTTGCTTCTATTGTTTCACCAATAGGGTTGTTAGATTCCCGACGATAGGTGTCTTGGAAGATTTGCCTGGTGTCATCATAGTGTCTTTAAATCAAAAATTTTATTTTGGAGTTAGTTTTATTGATTTTTCAATAAAAAACATTTCTAAAACAAGAAAATAAAACGATAAAATATTTATATTTTATATAAGGATCTTATATATTTAAAATAAATATCATTTTATTTTTTTCATTGGTGTCTGTCAAACCATAATACATTATTCAAAAATTCAATGTGTCTTGCGGTTTCAAAAGACACCTTCAAATTGAACGATAGCACAGACACTATTGAATTTTACCCATTGTATTTAGTTTTTACCCTTTTTATTTTTAAGAATTAATGACTGAAACAGCCGTTTTGCTATGACCTCAATCACTTTTATTTATTATTTTAAATATTATTTAATTTTATTATTTGAATAGGCCAACTTATATTTGAGAAGCTCAATTTGAGACCACTTAATACATTGAAATATCATAAATATTGAAATATTAAAAAGTGTATTTCAAAATATTGAATTATAAAAATTTATAATACTGAAATTGAGACAAATTAATAAATTCAATGTGTTTTTTTTGAAATAACTCTCAAATATTATTTTTTTGTTTATTTAATGATGAATAAATATGATTGCTTTAGTCAATCATAAAAACTAATTTAAGTTTAAAATAATGAAAGGATAATTTGATCGTTTTTTAAAATACAATTATTTTTGATGATTTGCAAGAATCTTTGAAAAGAATATAATATAGGTTCTATTTTTGTAAAATTTATCCAAATCATGTATTACATAAATTACGATTAAAACGATGAAAGAACCAAAAAGTGTGTTTTGTGTTTTGTTGTTGCGTGTTGGATGCGGGATCCTGTTATTTCCGAAATCGACAAAAAATTTGGAAATTTAATTTCCGAAATCGAAATTATATTAATGTTTTTAATATTCTTATATCAAAAGGATTAAAGTTCATTAAGAGAAAAACAATTCTTCTTCTTCAATCTATTGGCGCATTTATTTCTACACGCCAATAAGGAAGGGAAAATTATAAGACACTATGGTGTCTTCAAAACGCTAATTTTTGATATTTTTAACAACCCTATTCACCAATAATTTAAGCGGGGAAATTATTCTGTTTTTTCAATATTTTCAAAATTTGAAAATATGTCAGATATCTCACAAAAAATAAAAATAATGAAATTATTAATGAGCTCCATGTTATTCACTATGAAAATAATTGAAAAACTTTTTATGAAATAAAAATAATTCTGCGAAATTTTATTATGTACCTCATAAAATAAATTTTTGGATACAATTTGCTTTAACAATTCATAATTTATTTTTGAGATATTTCAAGAATTGAGAGATTTCAGAATATTTCATAAGATTAAATGCTGATCAGTGTACTTTGCATCACGTTCGATAGGGTACAGAATCGACCAAAGGCAGATGTTTGTAGAAAGTTCAAATCGATGAGCATTGCTGACAAACCTAACTCTGGTAACATCTACCAAGATCAAGCAGGTTCATGCAGTCCTAAGTCTTATGACAGAACGCTTGACAACAATGAGGGTCTCATGCAATACAACTACGTCAGGTGGATGGCAGGCTACCAACGCAACTTAAGTCTCATCACAGATCAAACTGTTATGAACAACGCCCTTTACTGCTCAATTTACTGTGCATCGATAAACGGTATCACACATGATCCTAATCCTTCTGATAAATGCTATACTAAATATGCTGCCGACGGATGCGGAAGTTCTAACTTAGCAATGTCATATAACTCTATTTCTAGAAGAGCTCCTGGATTTGTTATGCAATTGCTTGATGACTATATAGATGGTCAAGACATTGACGGTCTTGGTCACCGAAGATGGATGTTAAGTCCTTATACGGTTAAAACAATGTTTGGTGCAGCGTCAAATGTAAAAACGCAAACTTACTATGGGCGAGTTTACACGTATTATGTCAACTATTTCACTATGAGTACTTTCGATTCAGGTTGTACTGTAAATCCACCACCAGAAACTCTCCCATTCTATGCATGGCCTCCACCAGGTTTCGTACACAGTGGTCATGTTTACAAGATTTTCAGTTTCTCACATGAAAACTTGAGGTCAAACCCTTCTTTAGTAGTTAAAGTTGATGGTGTTACAAAGTCAACACAGACATACTTTGCTAGTTACAGTTATATGGAACCACCTTCTTTATCTTTCACCTTCGATGGTGTTGATAACCTAGTTAACAAGAGAGTTGATGTGAAAGTCACATCAGGTTCAAACACCTGGGAATACACAATTTATCCTGTTGACTGCAGCACATGGACTGAACCATCATCTGATCCATCAAAACCATCATCGAATCTAGCGAATCCAACAGCAAGTTCTCCTAAAACAGAAGCAGGAAAATCACAAACCTCAACTTCAAGCGGATCAAATTCACAAGATGATGCAGATCAAAGCAAAGGAAATACTGATAAAAATGGCAAGAAGAATATCCCTCTTATTGTTGGAATTTGCGTTGTTGTTGTTACACTCATTGCAATTGTTGTTGCGGTTACATTTATTATCATTAAGAAGAGAGCAAATGCAGATGATCATTCTGAGGTTCAGAAAAGCTTTTTGGTCTAAGTGTAATAAACATTTTTTACCACCCGTGCGTTTTAAATAAATTAATTTTTTTTTATTTAGATTGAATGAATTAAATGAATAACTTTATTGATATACAGCATATACGTAGTATTTTAATTGATACACTGTTTGAAATAAAAATTTCGAAATTGATTGAATAATATATTCAATATTTAAGTTAAACAGTGTTGCATAAAAAATTTTTGGTTCTTTCAATAAAGATTCGTTTTTTGAATTCCCACGACTGCATTTTGGAGGAGATAAAAAAATTATTTAGAAAAATTATAATTCTCTGAGATCTCTTTGAAATATAGACCATAAAATCTAGAACATAATGAAGTGTGACATTTGTGTCAAGATAAAATCTATGAGATTTGTTGATAGACCTAAATTATGTTACATTTATGCGTCCAAGAGCTAATGATAGAGCATTAAACAAAATCGAATGTGCAAACCCAAAATCTGTCTCAAAAATGATCAAACACTCATAAAAAATGTACAATGGCATTAGATACATGATGCAAAACCAAAATATCTCATACTTATTCTCGGTAAATTCAATAAAATTGGCCCTAGATGCAAATGGCTTATGTCAACGCGCAAAATTTGTAAATTTTCTGGAAGTATTTATGAATAGGCACTCAAGTCTTCCTATCAGGATTCCTTCTAACAAGGAAAATACATTGAGATAGTTAATTTTTTAAAATAGTTGACATGATGAAATTCTAGATACTAAACCTAACCCCAAAAAAATTGAATATTGAAAAAAATGCAAAATAACTTTTAAAAATTGTAGGAAATTAGCGTTATATTGCATAGAAAATATGCTCGTTATCTTATCTTGGGGTGTTCAGTTAGATATTTCAATTTTAAACACAAGAGGGGATATTTTAATGAAAATATTACCTTCAGATATATTTTAGAATCTTATCGTAATTTTTGGGCTGAGCGAAGAAGGTATCCGAAATTACCACAGAATTTTCTGACAAAAAGTTAGGCTCGTTATATTCAATACTTGATAAGGTTTGTATCAATTGAATTAATAATTGTAAATAAGGATGTCAATTCGGAAAATTGTTTTCATTTTAGGAGAATATAATTTTCCTTTTCGAAAATTTAAAAAGTGAGACGCGCAGGATTCGAACTTTTTTAAAAGTTGATTTAAATATATTCTAGTGTGGATTCTAAGGATAATATCATATTTAAAATAAGAATATACTAGTTTAGGTGGTATAATTTTTTCGATAAATTTGAGAGCATGTACGTTTAGGACATCAAAAGTGTCAATTCGCTCAGCGAAAGCTGAGCTAGCTTCGTTCTCGAAAGAATAGGGAAGGAGTGAAAGAGAGTGATACAGATGTTGACACATTCATATCATTTCAACAAATTTTGATCAAATTGAAATGCAATGAAATTCAATTCACTTCATATCCTTCAGTCAGTACATTGACATCCTTCTACATCACAATGATAACTCGTGCATCAATAGTTCTACAACTAACTCAGAAAAAACAAGATTTTTCCTTCCAGCTTACAGCTTTTAAAAAGTTTCGATGATAAAAATCACTCTACTCTTGTTTATCGATATGTTGTGATAGTAGGTAAACGTATTCTTATCGATATTAATAAAAATATTTTTACGAAAATCTGAACCAATTACAGAGTTATTCATAAAGTTTATGATAACTGTAATTACTTCATCTTTGTTTTATATTTGAATAAACAATTTAATTTAATTTGCATAATTTTTTTTAGTTGAAAGACAGGAAACTTAGTTGAGTTTGTATTATTTTTATCGTTCAATTCATGGTATATGTGAGTGATCCAGATATTTAAGATATTTAGAAAAAATTTATTAATTTGATTAACAAATTTTAATCAAAATAGCAAAAATCTATTTGATAGCTGTAAGCAAATAATAATTTCTATTTCAACCAAAATCACATATTTTCATCTAAACGTATAAAATTGTCAATTTTATGAGAATAAATTTAAAATCTCATGAAATATAAAGGAGAGTAATATTTTTCAATTTTCTTTTTTTCTTTCTCTCAAATATTTTCTATTGGGAATTTTCTTGTTATCAAAAAATAATTTTAATATTTGTTTATTTCATTACATACAATAAAATTTTAAAAACTCTATTTCTTCACAAGAAAATTTTTTTCCTTCATATGAAGAAACATTTTGTTCTCCATTTGATGCTGAGTCTAAATCTCGATTTTTGATTTTTCTTCTTTCCAAATTTCTTTTTTCCAAATTAGAAGTTTAATTCAAATTTTCAATAGTTTATATATTTTCTCAAACCGTCTTAGATTTTCTCACTTTTTAGGGATTTTCTCTCAAAATATACAAAAATAGTAATACCAATACATGTGTCTAATATACTTTAAAACCATCGTGATAAAATTCAAAAACGAAGAGTTCTTCTCTCCAAATTTTTTTCAAAATCAAAAAAATGAGATAAAAAAATACATTTGGAAAATTCATTTTTAGCATTTTAGGAATTTTCTCACTTTTCTTCCAAATTGACATCCTTAATTGTAAAATGTTAATATCAAGTATAACTATAAATTAATGAAATATTTTTTTAATCGGAATCAAGTAATTTAAACAAGATGTAAGAAATAGGAAGCGCACAACAATATACATTAAAATGGTGCAAAATGTCAAAAGTCAACAAAATTTTGTACCTCAATTCATCGTCTATTCAATTCTACATCGTGATAATATTTTTCAATAACAGCAAATAAAGTCAGATGCAAATAAATTGTTTGTAATAACTATAATATCATTTTATTTTAATTAGATTTTTGAGAAAATTAGGCAATTGTAAAGTTGAGAATAATTACAAATCGATTTGAACTTAATCTATTAAAGATCCTGTTTCTGTGCAAAACCATCATGAGTTAAAGCGGTTACGCCTCTAAAAAGTTGTTCTGAAAAAAAATTTTGTCTCTCAAATTTCCGAAGAAGGAAATCATAAATGAGTAATCAGAACTATCCATACCAAGGTCCAGTTCCAATTTTCCTTCCATGGGATTACGAAACCAGGGCCGAGAAGAATCTTTTCTTAGAGTATGCAAGCGAGAATTTCAACCAATGCAAAACTGGAGGTGTCTTCAGTCGAAAATCTCTCTCAAGACAAGAATCAATCACCTTCAGTGATAATCATACCAATGAGCCGCTACTCAAGCGTATCCCTAAAGCCATGGCAAAGGATGCAATCTTGGTCCAGAAAGCCATTTTACATATAACGGATGTTCGAAAGTCAAAAGTTTTTGAAGGTGGTCCAAGGGATCTATACAAACTCATTCGTAATCATGAGGAACTCATTGATGAGGCCTATTGCGTTCTTATTAAGCAAACCACCGCAGTTAGAGGAAAACCTTTCATTAACACAATGAAATTGACTGCATTCATTGCAAAATTCCTCATCCCATCTGAAGAACTTCGTCCCTACGTTTTATCTCACTTTTGCAAAGCCGTTAAGATTGCAAAAGAACTTGACGAGGAATGCTATGAAGCCGCCTGCTTCGCTCTCATCAGAGTCAACGGAAGGATCTGGTCTCATACTTCTGTTGAGATGACAAAAGAAAACGGCAAACACGCATTTGACGATATCAGCAGCGAATCAATTTGCTATTCATGTTCTATCGAAGAAGTAATGTTCCATCAACGCAAAAAGAAGCCAAATCTTTGCGTACCTTACATCCTCATCAAATCTTTCAACAAATTCTTTGAACTCGGAGCCGAAAAAACAGAAGGTATCTTCCGTTTGCCAGGCAGCATGAGCCATATCCAAGATGCCGCTCTCAAGCTCAACCGTAGTGAACAAGATCCTTTTGCCGGACTCGGAGCGATGGATATGGCCACAATGATCAAACAGTGGTTCAGAAGCATCGAAGGGTGGCTCATTCCAGAAGAATTTGCCCACGAGAATATTTACAAAGTCATAAGCTCCGAGCAAATTAGAGAAACAGCCGACAAACTTCCAGATTTAGCGAAATATACACTTATGTACCTTGTAGGCGTCCTTAGACGTCTCGCTGCCGCCAAGGACATTACAAATATGGGCGGAGATAATCTGGCAATGACATTCGCAATGAACATGTCTTACTGCAATGAAGATGATAGAATCAAGCTCTCTCAGAATAACTCATTCATGCATGCATTCTTGGCAGAATTGATTGTTTCTTGGGACGTTTCCCAAATTTATCCATTACCAGAAAATGTATTATAAATAAGTTTATTATTCTACTATTTTAATATGTTCTATCGTATTTTTACAATCGATTTTTTCTATTAACCTTTCTTGTCAAGATTTCATATCTTGAATTTATGGTATTCATCGATTTTCTATCATCGATATATCATTTATCAATAATAGACTATATTTATAGTTTCGCTTGTTTCCAAATTTTTTTCAAAATCAAGAAAATCATAATCTTTTCCTAAATTTTGATTTATATTTTTTGAATTTTGAATTTTTTTTGGAATTTTCACAGTAACATTTCTATCACGTGAATAGTTAATCAGGCATAAATTGATATTCTGGCCATGTTATTCAAGAAATTGACTGGTAGGAAAAAATTTCATTGGAATTGACTGAAAAAAATCATAAGATATCAAAAAAAGTCGATCGTAGAAGTTTTATACTACTAATTTTTATCATCATGATGTTTGAACAAGACTAATATCTTTCAAGTAACACGTTAATTTTTTTTTTTGTAATAAATAAAACTAACTCGAGAAAAATTTACCATTTCCTTCTCATCAACGAGTCCATTGGAGCAGAAGAAGGTTGGATTCTTGAACCAGGCTCAATTCTGTCAGATTTCTTGAATCTTTGTGGTCCTCTGTTTGGATTTGTTTCGGGTATTGGCTGTGGCTTTGGTTGCTGCTTCCTTTCTCTCTTCTCCGGCTGTCCTTTTCTGTCTTTGATCTCAGGAGGTATTGGCTGTGGCTTTCTCTCCCTCTTTTCAGGTGGATTTGGCTGTACTTTTCTTTCGGATGGTTTTGGTTGAGATTTTTGAGGTGGAACTGGCTGAGATTTTGGTGGATTTGGTTGTTCCTTGCGTTGATGAGTATTCTTGGTTTCTCCATCTTCTTTCTTTGAATCTGGATGCTCGCGACGAGGATCTGGCTGTTCTTTCTTGATGCTGTTGATTAATTTCGTTCCAGCGTTCTTTTCGCGCTTTGGCTTAGCAGAGTTTTGAGATTTAGGCTGTTCTCTGAACGATTTCATCGTTGGATACTGATCCAAGATTTTAATAATTTCTGGATCGAATGGAATTGGGAAACTGTGCTTCTGGTTAACCCTGAAAGCTTGGAGTTTCTCAAGACCGTAATTTGACTTGCGACGGTGATCTTCCATTGCTTCGTTTTCGAAATCTTTGAAGACTTTTTCATCCCATCTGATTTCGAGACCGTAAGAGCAGAATCTGAAGTAGCATTCGATACCGTAGTGGCTTCCTCCAGCAACATCTTCTCTTGCAAGACGAAGGAACTCGTGATACATATCTTCATCATAATGTTCACGAAGATAGAAGCACCAGAAGCAGTAAAGGCTGTTCATTTCGGCAGAATTTCCAATTCCGAGGGATGCACGTTCATTAATTGCTTGGTCGTGGAAAACATCGTACTTTCCTTGGACGAATTGTCCATCTTCCATTAATTGATGGGAGATGTGATCCCAATAATGCTTAGGATCGAGATCAATCTTCTGAGTGATGACATCATCCTTAGAAACGTTGCGTCCATCGCGAAGTTTGGAAAGAGTGCCTTTTTTGACACGAGTAATGTTGATAATCTTTGAACCAGCACCAGATGGAACTTCTGGTTTGTTCTTTTCGTAGTCTGGAATTAGTTCAGGAGCATTTGCTTCTCTTAATTCGAGAACGCAATCGTTGTAAGAGCCATATCCTTCGTTATACAACCTTAAGGACTCATTAATATCGTTTCCAGTTGTTAATAGTCCCTTTCTGATACCTGCTCCAGTTCTATGCCTGTATGCAAGTCTATCTTCACGTTTCGAACGAGTATTGCTCCTAACTTTCGTGCCAACAGATCCACTGATCTTGATAACTGGCATTTGGAATGATGATGCTGTGATCCTTGGTGGATAAGGATAATCTTCATCTTCTGATTGATTTTCGAAGTCATCATCATAATCATTGAAATCATCATCATACCACTCCTCTTCCTCTTCATATCCATCATCGGAAGCAACGGCGGCTGGGGTTCCTATGACATCCCAATCACTCATCTTATTATAAAAGTTAGAAATTTTTTTTCAAAAAAAAATTGATGAAGTGATTGATAAACGAAAAAACAAGATGAATATTATAATTTTATCCACAAGTAGTTTTAAAAACGATAGATTTGATTTTCAGGGTGATAAATATAAACTCGACCAATTAATTTTTGTGAAGTTCTCATTCAATTTGAAATCCTCCTCTGAAACTAATTTGACGATCAGCTCACTTTTAATCATTGGACCATATATATTAACTTTTATTAACGAATTAATATTTTTTCAATGAAAATTTCCTATCGATTTTTTCTCTCTGCAAAATCTCTTGTGAAACAATAATCTTACTGGCTTTTAAATTCTGGCGTGCCTACTCTTATACTTATCAATCATATAGATTTCAATCCTGCGAGAGATTATTTGTATCAGGCATATATTTTATTCAAAAATATTTTTCGGAGAATGAGAAAAAACCACAACACATAAACGTTACTGTACTGAGTCATTTGCTTATATGCATTTAAAATCATAATTAATGACATTATATATTCGGGCCATCACAAATTTCTTTCGAAATGAGTTAGTGTATAAACTCTAATGCTTTAATTTTCATATTTGTTATAGGAGTATGTTGAGAAACCTTATTTGTTAAAATAAAATATAGAATAAAAATTTTTGCTTTATGAAGATTAGACGTAGTTGTATTTTATTTCAATCACATGTAGGTAGCATTTATTTAACAAGTCTTCCAATTTTGATCTTTGCAATCAAAGCTGGAGAGATATAAGGATGCTTCTTCATGAAGAGCTCAGTCATGTCAGCACCAGCGCAAGACATGATAATCTTTGGACCTCCTGGATGCATGGATAAGTAAGGAGTCATATTATAAACATCGCCTTTGAAAGAACACCAGCAATCTTCTGGTTTATTGTGCTTAGCAAGTTCTTCTGGAGTAATATCACCAATCCATGGTAATTGCTTTTGTTTTTCTCCCCATGCAATTTGAGCAGAAGCCATCTTGCAAAATTTGAATTGATATCGTAAACTTTACAAAATAAAAAGATTTTACAATACCCATCACATCAATTATATATTTAGAGGATTCCTTTTGTTGCAAATTGTCGTTGACTTTCAGTTAGATTAGCATACAGATACGATCGTGCGAAATATCTTTTTATTTAGTTGAAATTACTTTATTCAAACTCTTATCATAAAGGTTTGTATGCTTATATTGTTGGATTTAGAAACACATGTTTTGGAAGGTTAAAATATGATGTTTTGAGTCATAATTAATATGGATAATAAATTGATTATTCATTGATATGATGTTCACTTAAGATGTATTGTAAACATAAACAGTATTCCACAAAATAAGCGTTTATAATAACAAATACATATTAAAACTTAAATTGGATACTCCAATCTTTTGAAACAGGGACATTGACGTCTTCCAAAACTAAAACATTCTCAGAGATACTGAATTTCATCGACTTTCCTTCAAAAACTACTTCTGAAGGAGTTTCGTGGCATCCTACAATTTTAATTGTTGAAATATAAACATTTTCGTAATCAGGCAAGTTTCCTTTTTGTGTCTCGTGTTCTCTATTCTCTAAAATTCCTTCTTTATATGTGAAAACTCTGTGAACAAATTCATTTTCAAGGAATTTGAATGAATGACCATCATCTGCGTAGAGTTCACCACGGGATTCTTGCTTGTCATCTAGTGCTACAACCATTGTGTAGTTGTCCAAATGCATAAGAGGTATGGATTTCCTTCTTGTGAGTTTTTGAAGGATGATTCTTCCACCTCTGATGTAAACTGGCACGGAACTGACATCTGTTCGGTCATAGCTCTTGGTGAATTCTTGGTATGTCCTGTAATCGTACCATCTTACACCTGATGGCAAAATAATTTTTCTCGATTTCGGTTGTTGTTCAACAATTGGAGCTACTAATAACGATTCTCCGAGAAGTACTTCTAATTCTTCATCTTGTAGTGCTTCATCGTTGAAGTAGAAGTACAATGGAGATACAATTGGTTCTCCCGTGAGATTTGCGATACGAGAAGCCGTATACCATAATGGGAATAATTGGTATCTTTCGATAATCGCATCAACAGCGAGTTCCCTCCATCCGGTAGATAAACGATATGGTTCACGATTATCAGCCAAATGATGGCAGTGGCATCTGAAGAAGGAGTATGTCCAGGCGCCAGCTTGGTACCATCTGCAGAGCAATTCCTTGTCAGGGGAATTGAAGAATCCGCCAACATCGCTTCCTGAGAAAGGAAATTGACAAATAGAAAGGGAAAGTATCTGAGGAATTGAGTTTCTAAGGTGATCCCATTCAGCGGCGTTATCTCCTGTCCACATTGCAGCGTATTTCTGGCTTCCTGCGAAGAAGGATCTCGTTAATATGAATGGTCTATCAGGAATTCCACGACTTCTACTGATCAATCCATCAGCTGTTGCCAAGACATTGAAATGGCCGTACAAATTATGTACTTCCCTTTCTTCTATGTCTCCGAAATGCAGGGCATCTCGTGGCATTGTTAGATCAGAGATGTCAAATATGGATGGCTCGTTCATATCGTTCCAGATAAAGAGTAAACCGGTGGAATCTTTGTACTTTCCATATGAAAATAGCGATGCCCACCATTTTCTTGCGTCGGGATTGAGGAAATCAACCCAGGAAGAGTTTCCTGGCCAGCAGTTTGCGTAGAAAATACCTCCATTGGAGTTTTTAACGAGGTATCCCTTTTCTTTGGCCTCTGAAAAGACAAAATAATAATCTGCGTTCTTCAAATGAGGATCTACAAGGGTTACTAGCTTCCTTTTGTTCTTTAACAATTCATACTGGACTTGTTTGATGTCTTTGTACTTAGAATTGTCGAACATAAAATATTTTTTATCGTCTGTATGGTCTAAATCAAGCCAAATTGAGTCATGAGGTATCATATATTCATCTAATGAGTTTGTGATGTTTCTTATGATATCTGAGCTCATGTATGTCCATCTACATTGATGAAAACCCAATGCAAAGGATTGTGGCATCGCAGGATGGCCAGTCAGGTCTGCAAACCTATGTGTAACTTCTCTATGTGATCCGGTTATAACAAAGAATTCAATATACCCGGTTTCGGACAAAAATCGAGAAGAATTTTTTGAAATATCAACCCATGTTTCCGAAGGATTGCACCAATAGACACCTATTGATTCTGTAGTATTATGAGCGACAAGGAATGGAATTGTGCCATACATCGCCATTCCATTTCCTATTTCGTAACTGTTTATATCTGTATTGAAAAATCTAATTGGTTCATCGTCAGTGGTTGGTTTCAATGTGAGATTCAATGTATGATGAGCTAAACCAGAAAATTTAAGGTTTTTCATGTGGAAAAGAAATGAGAGTCCAACAGATGTCGGACCATTTCGTAGGGTCTCTGCTTGATCATTAAACCTTGCTGGACGATTTTGGACTGGATATTGCTTCTTATCCATATTAAATTCGTATACAGCGCTGTTATCGTAGTTCATTGTTAATACCTTAGAACCATTAGTATAAATTTCAAAATTAAATGGTTTTGGCGTTAATATTATTTTTGTTTTAGTTGATTCAACAATTATCTTATTAAAGCTAATAGAATTCGATAAACCATCTAAATCTGAAATGAAATCTTGATCAATTAATGTTGGCTCTTTAATGAAATCGTATCTTGGGAATTTATCTGGAATTATGTTAGCAATTCTAACATGTGGAATGCCGCATTTCAAAATAGATGCTGTAAAATTAAGTTCTCTATTAAAATCTTCGTCAATTATTTTAGCGCTAAAAATATTTTCGTGAATTTGTGCTGTTTCTGCTAATAATGTCCAATTTGAGTTCTGAATGAATCTGTTTCTAGCACAAAATACAGAATCTTCGCATTTCCTATATCTTGTCCTATTAACACATTCAGCAAATCCGAAAAAGAAAATCATTAATATTTGTCACTTTTCGAAATTCTCCAAAAAATTTCGGATTACGACAAATTATTGATCAGTTGAGTCAGTTGTCGCCATTTAGAACTTTTAATTTACAGCACTCAAAATTTTGAATTCCAAATAAGAAACCAATCAAAAAAGTTTCGAATTAACAAGAATTGTAACTGATCACGCTCATGTCTGCAACCAACACTATATTAGGAATATGCATTTCTAACTTTTTCTCCATAATACCATATTTTCGGTTTTATCGGATTAGTAATTGCAAGAATAGAACTTTGATACAATGAAGATGATAAAAAATATAGCTGTACATGCCATTCTCTTAATATTGATGGCTCTGTACAGTTTCTCGTGTCATGGATTTTTGCATGCCACATCAAAGGGGTATTTCTGTTGTTGTATCTTAGTTTTAGGGTGCAATAGATGAAGAAAAACTCTATAAACATCTATTAAAATAAAACGCATTATTAATTTTTAAAAATAAATATGGAGATACATACCAAAACAAATCAAATCCCATCCTTCTATATTAAAATACGAGGATGACAATTGAAGTTTTCATAATCTACGTTGCAACGTCAGAAATCAAATTCCGAAGGATTTCTGAAGTCCGTAAATGATCTATAATTGGGCAGTTTCTGGCTATTGTATCTTACAGGAGAAGTCTTGTTGGCCAAAATTGATAGGCCGTTTGTACGGAAGGTTCTATTATTGTCATTCAACGTGTTTAAAGCATTGAATGAATTCATCTTTGTAATTCTCCTGGAAATTTTGGCAAGCTAAGCATGTGATTGGCATTGATCAATAGAAAACCTTCTTGTAGGCTCAAGTTCTAATAGCCTCTGGATGAAATTGGATGGCATGGTATTGATGTATGATGGGACTCTAACAGGTTGGCTGAGAGCATTCTTCAAAGAGTATTCGGTATGATCGTATGACGGAGTATTACCTAAGAATGGATGATTTCCAGTTAGTAATGTAAATGTAAGGAGTCCTATAGACCATATATCTGCTTGAGATGCAATATATGACCCTGTCTTGTAATACTCCGGAGGCAGATTTTCGAAATGTTCTGGGATATTCTTAACACGGTCATTGCAACCAACCGATGCTGAAAATGAGTAGTCTGCAACTGTAACATTGTCTGATGATGAAATGTAAACAGTTGATGGATTTATATTTATAAGTCCAAAACCTTTGTAATGAATATATTTAACCAAGGATAATAGCTGATTAATAATATTTGCAACACGCTCTTCTTTCATTTAACCCACTTGCTGCAAGGCATCAGAGATTGGTTTTCCGTATGGCAATTCAAAAACGGCGTAGTAGTTTTGATAGTCTTCAAATATATCACTACACCTTACAAGAAATTCGTGTTTACAATTCTGTAATTGTAAAAATGGATTGAATGGCTTTGGGTGCAGAGGATCTTTAATTATTTTTGAAATATTGCAAACTTCTAAGGTGTCCTTGCAAACAGCGTTATAAACGGATATTTCTTGATGTGTCTGAACGATGCCGTTTAAAGTATATGTACGAGTGGATGAAAATATATCCATTTGATTTTGTGCTTAAAAATTTGAATGGGTCAATCAAAAAATGTGAAAATGAATTAATTAGCATAATTATCAACTGATGATAATTTAAATTAAAAAAAACGAAAAAACAATTTTGTGAACAACATCGTCCGAGTTTTCTTATCCGCAATTTGAAAAATATATAATAATATTCTCCATAATAATACGGCCAGATATCACAGATATCGTATTTTTGTGAGTTTGACTTAAGGTATTTTAAAATCAATATAGTGTGGAGAGGATCATTTAAAATAGACCACTCACATTTAATTCATTGAATTTATGTTTTCAATTTAAATTCATAATTCCAGTAATAGAAAACATATAATGTACATTCAAATTTATCAAAAATTAAGATATCGTGTAAAAAAAGTGAGATAGAAAAATTGATAAATATTCAATTTGTTTCAAATGATATATTGTTGGATATTTCTTCAATCAATATCATAAAATTTAATTTTTATGCACAATTTTGGAACATATATTTTTTAAAGACTTTTTTACGACATAATATGCAACCGACCAAATTGTAGATTATCATATTTTTGGGAAATAGTAGATAACGAATATTCCTTTCAAATGTTTAGCTCAATTTCGATCAGTAAAATATTCATAATCGATTATGCCCAATGGTTAAAGCTTAAATTGAGATTAATTCAAAATCAAATTTTGAATTGGTGGTTGATTTTGCTCAATTTTTTTTGTGAAATTTACTTTTGAAGATAATAAGATAACGATTTTCATCGATGAGCGATTGATTTATTTTTCTTTAGTTTGTACCATCACGATAAATGACTCATTTCCTAAATCTCTTACATATTAATTAGTTGAAAGATGTTGCTTCTTATTCATTTGTAATATATTTATTTTTTAAATGTGATTTGATGTAATTACAATAATTAAGATACAAATAGACATACTAGGATTTGCCAAATATTTACTCAATTTATTTTGAAAATAAAGAAATTTCATTTTTTTCATAGACAAGTGAACCAAACATAAGTCCATTTCTTAAAAATATAAATATCACAAATTCAATCCTTTAAAAGCAATTTTAAATTTATCTCACTCGAGAATCATTTTTATATGTAATATTCCTTTTGAACCATATGTATCAGTTCAATTTTAAATAATTTTGATTTTAAAAAGAAAAATAGACTCCATTTTTTAATGAGGGTAATTGATCTTCTCCGATATTTATCATGTTTTGATGAGATTCTTAAGTGATTCAAAAACTAAAAAGTATGTTGAATATCAATGATTTTTTCTTGAGAATTGCAACAAGTTTTATTCATAAAGCACAAATTCAACTTAGCATAACCAAACAAATAAAATAGTACTAAAATAACTATAAATAAACTGTCGATTTTTTTGAATTCACGATGGATTATTTATGTTTTCAAAATATTCTGCAAAAATTTGAAATAATTCTTTATATTTTTAATACCACTCTTTTCTTTTAACATTTTCAAAGGATCTTTTTCTTTCTATATGCTCAGAAAATTTGAGGAGGGGTTGTTATAGACCGAAAATAGATTTTTTCGGTTTTCTCTTCAAATAATTGAAAGAATGATACTATTATAGGTTTATTATATTATATAGCATATAATCATGCTATAGCCGAAAATTATAAGTTTTGAGAAGATTGAATATAACACAAATAAATTTGAATGTAAGTTAAATTGCTTGTTGTTTTTAATAGCTATTTAATGAGAAATCCAATATTGCAAAATTCAAATTGAACGATTGAAAGAACAGAAAAAGTCATTCTTTTCAATTTCGAATATGTTTCATTGTATTTATAATTATATTTTTATTCAAAAATAAACTAGTTATTTGAGTTTATTACTAATTATCTATTCAAACTACAAAGTTTGTAATTTAAAATATTTTGTGAGATCAGATTGAATTAATTCAAGGTTCTTTTCAATTAATATTAATGACCATATTACGCATTTTCGAACATTCTAAACCAAATATATAAAAATGGGAGACGAATGTTAAATTTGCTAGACATGGGGGAGTTGTCTGCAAAGTTTTAGCTCTTATCTCTAACAAAAAATTAATTTTTAAAAAAAAGACCGAATACGTTTCACAGCGAGAAAAAAATAAAAGGCAAGATAGAATTTTCTAGACATAAAGAAGTTGTTTACCGAGTTTTAGCTCTTATCTCTAACAAAAAATTAATTTTTAAAAAAAAGACCGAATACGTTTCACAGCGAGAAAAAAATAAAAGGCAAGATAGAATTTTCTAGACATAAAGAAGTTGTTTACCGAGTTTTAGCTCTTATCTCTAACAAAAAATTAATTTTTTAAAAAAAAGACCGAATACGTTTCACAGCGAGAAAAAAAATAAAACTGTACACTGATTTTCATTTTCATTTCCAGTCACTTTACTTATTATTTTTCTTTTTTTCATTTTAATTATAAATTATTTCATAATACGTTTATTTACGTTACCATTTTCTTTATTCTTTTGAATTCCATACTAGACACTTATAGAATATTTTGATTGTTAACGTACTTCATTAGAATGAATCCTTACAAAGGGTATGTCGATCGAATTTACCTAATTGGTATTTCCAATCAGATTGAAGAAGGTAAAATGACATGGGAAGAAGCTTGCACCCATGTTCCCATCGCCCCAACCCTTCAATCAAATGATTTCAAATATTTAGATGTTTCAAAATTTTTTTTACAAAATCAATTTAGCTTACAGAATATCCCATTGCCTAAAGGCAAGAAAGGTCGTAGGGTCAATCCCTACGACCAAATCAAAGCTCTTGCTGTGATACATGACCACTGGGCCTTTCCCTGTGGTCAAACAAAACAATGGAAACGTTTGAAATTACAACAAATTGATGTATCTTATAGAGAAGTACGCAGATACTTCAAAGAAAATCATTTCACCAAGACGCGATTAGAGCATGCCGGGCCAGAAACAGCAGTAAGATATTGGGCGCTTTCACCCAATCTTATCTGGCACGCAGATGTTCATTATTTTAGGGGTGTTCGTGGCCAGTATATTTATGGCATAATCGACGATTTTAGCCGCAAAGTCCTAGCGTGTATACAAATACCAGATATGCTGGCAGCGACGACAGCGAACGTTGCGGCTTCCGCCTTCATTGAATTTGGCGCCCCTTATTGTTTCTGGACCGACAACGGTTCAGAAAATAGGGGCGCCTTTCAAGATCTACTTGATCTTTGGGGCGTCCAATGGCGGCATACAGACTCTCATTCTCCCTACCAAAATGGGAAGATTGAGAGATTCTGGCCGACATTGGAGCGCTGCCAAAGCATTCAGGCTATTCCTGCCTTTATTTGGGAGTACAATAATAACACACCGCATGAAGATCTCCCAATTAATCCATTAACTGGAACAAATTACACGCCAAATCAAATGTATCAGCTGAAACCGAAATACACAAATGCAGATACAGAAAGGTTGTGGCAAATATGGGATACAGATACAGGCATGACCGCTGTTGACACATTCACAGCGTAATAATAAACATAATTTTTTAATTTCATTTTTAACAAGTTTTTTTAAATGTATGTAATGAATAATTCATTAGAATATGATAATGCACATTGTAACAGAATAGAACAATCACCAAATTTTTTTTGAAATTATAAAATAAAAGTAAAAAGTATAAAGTAATCTAACCAAAAAAGATATTTAAAAGAATTTTGGAAAAAACAGAATAAGGATAATGATATTATTTTAGATACACAATCGATGTACTGAAGAATAATCCGGTAAAATGATGATATAAAATTAGATTATTTTACAAGTAGCTAAAAGAATAAAACTATAATATAAAATAAATGAAGTTTAATGAAACAATAAAGGTTAAATAAATAATAAAGATTTTTATTTTATATGAGTATTGAGAAGAAGTAACAGCTGACACTTGGTAGACAACTTCTTTATGTCTAGAAAATTCTATCTTGCCTTTTATTTTTTTCTCGCTGTGAAACGTATTCGGTCTTTTTTTTAAAAATTAATTTTTTGTTAGAGATAAGAGCTAAAACTTTGCAGACAACTCCCCCATGTCTAGCAAATTTAACATTCGTCTCCCATTTTTATATATTTGGTTTAGAATGTTCGAAAATGCGTAATATGGTCATTAATATTAATTGAAAAGAACCTTGAATTAATTCAATCTGATCTCACAAAATATTTTAAATTACAAACTTTGTAGTTTGAATAGATAATTAGTAATAAACTCAAATAACTAGTTTATTTTTGAATAAAAATATAATTATAAATACAATGAAACATATTCGAAATTGAAAAGAATGACTTTTTCTGTTCTTTCAATCGTTCAATTTGAATTTTGCAATATTGGATTTCTCATTAAATAGCTATTAAAAACAACAAGCAATTTAACTTACATTCAAATTTATTTGTGTTATATTCAATCTTCTCAAAACTTATAATTTTCGGCTATAGCATGATTATATGCTATATAATATAATAAACCTATAATAGTATCATTGTTTCAATTATTTGAAGAGAAAACCGAAAAAATCTATTTTCGGTCTATAACAAATTTGAGGAGGGGTTTGGAACTGAGCAATAAATAAAACAGATTTTATTATATATTGAAAATATACAAAACTAATCTAAAATTATTTTGAATTGACCATTATATTTAAAAATTTTCTACATAATTATTTTTAGTCTATGATAAATATATTAAATAAGGGTTTCGTTTTGCTAAAATTGTCACTTTTATAGCATATTTGTTTTTGGATGTTTTGCGAAACCAAAAAAAAACTATGATATACAATGTGTGTGTAAAGAAAATACTTTATTTACTAGTTAAAAAATCATTTGGTATTGATCAAGTTATTTTTTCTGGATAAGATATTATATGGATAATTGGATAGAAAATACAATTATATAATCTTGTACCTGGTTTAATTAAGCTAATTGTCATCAGAAACTTGTAATTTTTATGAATTTCAGATTTTCTTTTCATTACTGCTTTTCTTAATAGGTCAAGTTCTTATTTACGTTATAAAGTATGATATTTACAAATATCAAGTTATCATGTTTTTTGAGAAATTATGAGAAACAAACAAAAATGAAAAAGATAGGAATAGCAATGAATAGTGATGTGGGTATAGAAAATGTAAGAGATATGAATGCAAAGCAATCAGTATTTAGGATATTGACCATAGATTTCGAAAAAAAAATGCTGCATATTGAGCGAAAACTATGATTATATTATAAGGCTGTCATTTAAAGCATAATGAAACTATTCCCTTTTCATTTTAATCGAATAAGATAGTAAAGATTTTGAATTAGCTAGAAACTGATGAGATGTTTTCACAAATCAGATTTTTAATCTCTATAATGCATAATTCACTCAATATCTCAATTTTGATATTGCGAGATATTTTTGCTATCGGTTTCGCAATTTTGACACAATAGCAAGAGGGTTCTATAAGCATTATTATCAACGTAGAATCTGAATATCATATCAGAAAATGTCGCAAATCTAACATTTACCCGACCAAATAGCAAAAATAATTGAATACTTTTCGCAAAAACTTTAAAAATCGATAAAAATATGAAATATAGATATTAAAGAGACTTTTTATATAATATTCATAAAGATTTTCCAAAAATATGATACCGCAAAATTAAAAAAGTGACGTCTTGAGTGGAGTCAAAGGTCGAAATTGCTAGCTAAATGTTTTTTTAGCGAAATTGCGTATTGTACGTTTTTTTCGCAAAACGAAACCCTGATATTAAACAAATTTCCCAGTTATTGGATAAATTGAATACTTTCATTATTTTTTGATCTTATTAATAGTTATTCAAAGAAACACTTTTATGATTCTTAAAATTTTTTTTTGAGAACTTGTTAATTTAATTCTGAACAAATTCTAATGATTTTGAATGGTAGGCATAAAATTCAGAAAAGATGGATAATGATACCGTGAATGATATTGTCAAGAGCCGTAGATTGAGGAAAACCAAGTTAACCTCAGAGCAAAATCGGAGGGATCATGAAATGATCTTAGAGCGGATAAAGAAGAACGGAGTTAAGATGGATTTTGTTTCCGCATATATTGACAAAATTTTTGGAATGCATGTAACAATATCTCCGTTACTCGAGTTTGCACTTCACATATCTCATCAATTCGGGTTAAAGGTCGATAGATTGGCCAAAAGAAATCGCAATGCCCTTCTATGCTGGTTTTCGGAGAATTGGGAAACCGTATTCCCTCATCTACATCAGATCAAACCAGATAAACCATTTATATATGAAGGCACATCCTCTCATGTTTCATCACCAGAAAAAAAATCAGAAAATAATGAGAAACATGTAACCAAAACTGATATCGATCCATCAAATTTATCCCATTTATTGAACTGGCATTGATGCAACCAATATTCTTTTGATAAATGCCATCGAATTATTCCTTATATCGTTGGAACATGTAGAATATTGCTTCCGCTTAACAATCGAAGAAACCATATTCTTGTATGTATGTAAATCATCTTTTATCGTAATAACTCTGACAAAAAAATTGTTTTGGGAAAAATATATCGAAATTTAACTTATGAATATCTAGAATAATTATATGGTATCTGTATCGATTAGCTAATTTAAATTTTTGGTCACAAATATGATTTTTTGATATAATATGATATTTTGAGAAAAAAATCAGGAAAAAAAAATATTAAAAAGGAAAATTATAATCAAATTATTGTCCATTGAATACACACATTGATTTGATTGTTCCTTGTGCCTGTTTTTGAGATATTTTTCAAAAAAATATATTAATCACGTAACAGATGAAGTTTGTATGGACTTTAAAAGATGCAGCTGTTGGAGCAAATTGTTTCTGAATTTACATATTTTTGATTTCGAAAAAATAATTTCTTGAATTTCTTAATGGAATAAAATCCTGTAATAAATAATATGTTGATTAGTTTAAAAATATATTGAGTTATTTCGGTCAAAAGGTAATTGTGTTACGAAATTCATATTTGATTTTCTGTTTTGCTTGTAATAATCACCATGAGACTTATGTTCCTGTGAAGAATATTGATATGCTATTATTATCCGGTTATCAAATCATCAAATCATTAGAAAAACATCCTAACTGATATTTTTCTTTATTGAAAATGTCAAAAATTGTAGATTTTTATGTTATTATTATGACATATAAGTTCATATTATTTAAAATTCCTTTCAGAACGGTATTTAATATTCAGAAAAATACTTACAGAAAATTATTTTCAGAAAAATGTTATCAGATTTCTAACTTACTAGATATTGGAGATTTATATCAAATCGCTAATGATTTGACCAAATAATGATTTCAATTTTATTAAATATTGAAAAATTGAAGGATCACCCTTTACTGATCTCGGTAAAGCTATATATTCTTAACAATAAATATAAAATAGTGACTCATTGTATCATATTTATGTACAGTATCTACCAAAAAATTTCAATATTTGATAACTCTTTTCAAAAATATAGTTAGCAATGAACCGTCCATACATTAATGTTAATACTATTATCTAGATCCATGCAAATTATTTTTGCTTTTATATTTGAATCAAACGGTTTTTTTAATATTTCAAGGCTCTGAAATAATATATTATTTCATCCTTTATGTATTTCTATAATTATGCAATTTTTTTATTTGCAATTTTTTCAATTACGAAGAGAGAAATTTTTATTTTGTAATATTTTTGATTCTTTCTAACTAAATTAAAACCACATTTCAACAAATATTTTTATGCGATCTCTCAATTTAGGTGAAATGACTATCTTATTCTTTTGTTTATTTTTAGCGGCGTATTTTCGTTTTGACTTTATCCTTTCGTTAATTCTACATGAATTAGTCCCTCTCACCTTATTAAAATCAATATTTAAGGGTATTTGATATTTCGAACCAAGTATCGAATATTCTTTTTAATTACTCATTATTCATAATTAACCATCCAAATGTGTTACTCTTCGATCAGTAAAACGAAAGCAAATGTGAAAAAATTTCCTCTTATTTCTATTGACTGTCTTTCACCTATTTCTTGCTCGTTTCTTTCCATCATGGTTTGCGTTAGCATAATCCTACCTTTAACATATATAACTTTCCGAAATATTTTTTGAAAATTGTAATACTATCTTATTTCACGATTGTTCTACAATCGACATTACACCACTCCATCATTCAAATAATATCCGCTTGGAATAATGATCTATCTGCATGAATTGCATTACAATTTATCGCCAGATTTAATAATCCATCATTCAACTCTTAAAATATTACTCTATACAAAAGGTTCTGATGATTACAACATTTAATTATCTAATTCATGCCGATAGCAAATCAGCGGAATAAAAATAAATTATTGGGATGACTGAAGAAAAAAATGCTTTTGATCAATGGCTAAGCCAATGGCCACGCTTCTCACCATATGTACACGTTAATATTAGAACAGATGACGGTGATAGAGCTGAGAAACGTGAAGTTTTATTTCAATTACTTGGAAATTTAACACATTTTTATCATTACATATTAATTCCATCACATCCACAAATGCCAGTGATACCATCCATGTCTCAACAGAAGCCTGGTATCACTTCTTTCCTTGCTCGTCAACATTTTTACATTCAATGGAAAGTATTTCGACTTCAGTCAAAGCATTTAACACGATCCATACAATTTCTCGATGAATTATTAACGAAATTACAGGATTTTTTGAAAGAAACTTCAAAATTAGATGTAGATGTTGAAAACGAAGGATTATATAACCAATCATTAAGCGAAAGTCCAAAATGCACAAAGTTAATTAAATTAGATACCACACTTGTTACTAAAATTACTCATCAGGAATCCCAAATCAATATGAGTCCAAATGATTCAGTTGTTATACATCAAATCATATTTGGTATGTCACAAAGTTTTGATAGGAATGCAATGTTCATTAAATCACATCCGTTACAAGAATATTTTGAATATTTGATTTTTAGTCCTAAATTTGAATACGCTCCTGACATAATCAACCTCACACACCCAGATAACATGACAAAGGAATCACAGTTCACCCTAAATGTTATTGCAACAATGCATAAATTAGTAAGAGGTTTCCAAATTACAGAATCTGTTGATACAGCCATATTTTCAATTATTTTCTTCAAAGCAATATTCAATAAATGCGTCGTAGAGAACCCAAGTTTCTTTAATAAGTCATTCGAACCTACATTTAGAAATTCTGCTCAATTAGCAACATTTGAGACCATTGGAGCTCCACAAGAATTATTCCCTCAAGGAACAGATATAAGAAACTTCATTACAACTAATCCAATTCTTAACAAAGCTGGATTAATTTTGACATCTTTGCCATTCTTTTGTTCTCCACTTGATATGCTTGGATCAATACATGAGGCATTATCTCTTGTTAGAGATTACGCATCCAGTTACTCAGGAAACAAAAAAGATGATGTTCATTCGTTTGATTCCATTTTTGGAATTTTCATGGCCACTTTGGTCGGTTGCGATTTGGTCAACGTTGAAGAGACATTTTGGTTTATCAACACATTCTCTCCAATGGACGGATTATCCGGCCAACTCGAGTACGCAAAGGCAACTTCAGCTGCAGTTCTAATGCAGGCTGCACACGTCGTAAGGGCATATAATAATGAAGAAAATTGACTTTATATATTTGTTATTTTTTTTGATTTAATAAAATATTTGTGTTTTCTTTCTTTACACTTTCTATCTGTCATAACTGAAAACTATTTTTTTTGTGTAAGGAAATACTTATAAACGAGTTTGTAAAAATAAATTCAAATCTTCCACAATCGAATCATGTTCTTTCAACGAGTAACAATTACAAAACTCTCAAATGTATAACATATTTCCAAAGTATTTTCAAACTTATTCATCTTCCTGGAATTCTTCGTAATGAATCAGAAATCATCTTGATTATCTCCATTACAGAAGATTAAGGGAATAGCTTTTATTAGATATTCTGGTCAATTAATAGCGTGGTACAAAGCAAAAGCCATTTCTCAATTTGATAAATTTCATTCATCGAGAAAGAAGATCAAGTTTGTAAAAAAAAAATGAAAGTTGCTTTTGTTCAGGTTGAAAAAATATTTAATTTAAAGGAACCATCAAATGAAGATGGACAATTCCAAGTATATGCCAACTTATTACCTCGTGAAGATGGCTCATCTGCGAGATTTAAAGGAAGTCATGAATTAACAAGCAATATTACATGGAATTTTTTATACGAGAATCAAAACAATTCAGCGATTAGCATAATACTTCAAAAAGTTTATCGATCTGAAGAAGTTGGACGTGTGACACTCCCATTAGTTTGGTTTCCTAAAAATGCCGTTGTAACAGATACTTATCCAATGATATCCCCACGAACAGGACTGCACATTGCCGACGCCATTGTTCGTGTTCACATTTCAGAAAATGGAGAATGCCCGTTTACAGCTCCTGTTGGGAAACTGCTTGTTCGGTTGGCAAGAACAACACAAAACCCACAAAATAAACAAAATCCAACTCAAAATCAACAAAATTCTCCTCATCATAAAACAGAAAAACATAAATCTCCAACAGAAAAGGAGCAACCAGCACAAAATCCAAATCCAAATCATCCTCGACAAACCAATTCTCAGGCTGCGCCAAATCCACAAAATATTGACCCAAGAATTGCAGGTTTTCCACAGAATTACCTATATTACCCTAACTACCCACCACAGACGATTGATCCCAATGCAATAAAACAACCGGCAAGCCAGCCAATTATGCAATTACACCCGTACGCACTTCCGATGGTTCCTCCTGGAATGATTCCAATTCCAGCACCATATCCATACCCACAACCAGGAATACCAGGTTCTATGCCACAAAACGTTGCTTTTATACCATATCCTTATCCACCACCACCAAATGGCCAAGCTCCGCCACCAGGATACTTTATTCCTGTTCCTCCTCCGGGATATCCTTATATGGCTCCACCAATTATACCACAAACTGCGCAACCACCACAATCTCAAACTTCTGCTCAGAAACAGAAGCATGTCGTTAAGAAACATAGACCACCAAAACCACATGCACCAAATGAGCAAGGAAAACAACAAAATCCAGAAAATAAAAATGAATCCGAAATTAAGAAAGAAGAACCAAAGAAAGAACCAGCTAAACCAACTGAAGACAATAAATCTGAACCAGAAAAGCAAATTGAAGAACAAAAACAAGAAAAAGAAAAACAAATCGAAGAAAATACTTCAAAACAAGAGAAACAAACTGATGAACCAGAAAAACAAGTAGAAGAAAATACTTCGAAGCAAGAAAAACAAACAGAAGAACCAAAGCAAGAAAAAGAAAAACAAATTGAAGAAAATACTTCAAAACAAGAGAAACAAAGTGATGAACCAAAACAAGAACCAGAAAAACAAGTAGAAGAAGAGAAGGCGGAAGAAAAAACAGTCAAATCTGAACAATAATTTTATATTGTGTTTTTTATTATAGTTTTACTTTAACATGTTAAAATCTATATTTTAAATAGTCAAATTTATAGAGTTATTTGAAAAATTATTTATCAATCGATTTTGATCTCATTTTGAAATCAAAAATATACATTGTACAACAAAGGATTATATTTGTCAAGGTTACAAAAGCATATTACATATGAATATGAAAAAATAAATGATATTTTAAGATATTTATACATAATTTTAATAGAAAAACAAAAAACAATAAACAATTATTAAGTGATTATGTTTCATTAACAGTTGGAATCTGATCCTTTACCGCAGCAGCCTTGACTTTATTAATTCTATCATTAATAATTTTCAATCTCTGGTCAACATCTTTAATTACTTTCTGGACCTTATTATTTGCAGTCTTTGCGGCCTTCTTAACATCTTCCTCTGTGACTTCAGGCTGCTCAGCTATGCTAACCGATGAAATAATTTCAACATGTTCCGAAATTCCTTCAGCTCTCTTCAGAGACTTCTCAGCTTCAAGAGCAACAGTATGGAGCTTCTTTCCGGATTGGTCTATCTGGTCAACAATGCTTTCCGACTGTTTGAGGATCGTTTCAGCCAATTGTTGACTTTCTAAAGAAATTCCTTGTATTGAAGTGTTGATTGATGCGGAAAACTTTAACATCTCATCACGAGTTAGAGTTTGAACAGGTTCTTCAACAGGCTTGGCTTCTGCATCTTTTGGTTTCTGGGTTTCAATGTTTTCATTTGTAAGATTATTAACTTTTTCACGGACATCTGCGAGAATCGCTTCAATTTCTTCATTCTTCTTCTTAATATCTGCAACAGGTTGGGACTGTGCTGGTGTGTAATTATTCATATTGTACTTAATTAAATCTTCGATCATATTTACACGGTCAACATGCCTCCTTACGCGTGCTGTTAGTTCTGGATCAGTACGCTTTTCGATGAAAATTCTTTCTTTTGATGTCTTTTCTTGTACTTCGACCATCATTGCAGTTAATTTTAGAGGATCTTCTTCTTCCTCTTTAGTTTCTTGTGGAATTTCACCTTTGAGTTGAGCAATCTGGTTCATTATATCACGCTCAAGTTTATTCAGGAATTCTTCATTAGTTTTGTTTAATTCCATTTCAAATGTTGTACAGGATTTAGCAAATTGTTGAGAATGTATATTTTTATTAGTCTTGTTGTTAAATTTAGAATATTTGGAACTAATTGCGTTGATATTCTTCTCCAATTCGTTTAATTCGGAAATCCAATCTCTTGATGTTTCCGATGTAACTTTAGTATCGAGAATATTGCAGTTACTTTCAAGTTGGTTGATTGTTTGAGCTATATTTTCTGGAATTATAGTGTCTAATTGGGCATAATCAGATGATAATCTTTGAATTGATTGTTGAACTTTCATCATTTCACCACGAAGTTGTGCAATTACGAAAATATCACTAGAATTTGATGGTTTTGGTGGTGCATTTGGTGAAAGAGGAGGCAATTTTTCACCAATCATTTTAAAAAACGAATTATTTACACCCCCTCGAATAATTTTTTTTCTCCCCTATATTATCAGGAACCGTAGCAAATTTTGACAATGAATAAACAGCAATCTTGTTAATTCGAACTTATTAGTGCAAAACCAATATTGTACCGATGCATGGAAGATGGTTAGTTACAAATAAAACAATTATTACATTACTCGCACGGATTACGGGCAAAATCTCTCCAATTAATATGAATAAACATAAAAATTCTTCTAAGTATACATAGATAATTAATTTTTTTTGCGTTATCAGAACTAAAGACATGCGAATGATTTTGGATCAAGATTCCTCAAACGATATATCTATGCTTTCTATACAGATTATTGATTAGATACATAAATACGGCAGTTTTGTAGAGCGTAATCCAATGACAGACAACATTTTTCGTAAATAAAGACCGTAGGTTATCAAAACTTCTCGATAACTAACAATATTATTTAGAATTGTTAGCACTCTTTAATCTACATGCAAAATGAAATCTGTGATAACATATTTTTGTCAATTTTCCTATTTTGAGAGGTGAAAAATTTTGAGAAAAAAAAGTTGAATTTTGAAACATCATGGTAAATATATTTAATCAATACACAAGTAATATACAAACATACGGTAATTACATGGTAAATATATATAAATACATGGTTAATCGCGGATTGGAATTTGTTCACTCTTAACTGGGTTTGGAAGGAAAGGATTATAGGAATTGGGCTGTGGCTTGATAGTACTGCCTGTTGCCCAAAATGCTGGTAATGGCGCAGCTGTGGGTTTCTTGGATGAGAATGGAATATTGACATTTTGAGGGACGAGGGGCATTTCTTCTTGGATATTTTGCTCCTCATAAGCAGAAATAAGCTTTCGATATGCATTGGGCCTTGTTTTGAACTTGTTTAGTTGCAAATCACGAAGCCTGATAAGTTCATTACTCATGTTTGAATCGACGATTGCAAGAACACGGTCTTTGAATAAGTCTTCATTATTTGCAAATTCTCGATAGTTTTGTGGTAAGGTGTAGATATCGATCTCTGACGGGATGACGACAATGATGTCAGAGTTCTTAATTCCATAAAACTTGAATGTGTGATGCTTGTCAAGAAGAATTCCATTGTATAAGAATCGAACTGATTTATCTTTAAGGAATTTATGAATGTCTTTGGAGGTAGCTGTTTCTAAAACTTTGACTTTAATGATCCATTGGCCAGGACAGAAAAGGTGAACAATATATTTTTGGCATGAAAGCGGAGTGTTAGATTCCATCAAGAAAATGAGACCCAAACAATTATAAATGAATGCAAGTTCAGAAATTATTGAGAACATATCAGAAATTGATTTGAATCTCACTTTCAAAAATTATGAAGAAAATTTAATCGAAAAAACATTTGAACACATTAGTTAGGTTATATGAGTAGAGTAATTTTAGCCGAAATTTGGTTTTGAGAATAATATTTTCGGTTTTCTCTTCAAATAATTGAAAGAATGATACTATTATAGGTTTATTATATTATATAGCATATAATCATGCTATAGCCGAAAATTATAAGTTTTGAGAAGATTGAATATAACACAAATAAATTTGAATGTAAGTTAAATTGCTTGTTGTTTTTAATAGCTATTTAATGAGAAATCCAATATTGCAAAATTCAAATTGAATGATTGAAAGAACAGAAAAAGTCATTCTTTTCAATTTCGAATATGTTTCATTGTATTTATAATTATATGGCAAATAAGATATTTAAACTTGATTTTTGAAGGAAAATTCACAAAATTGAAAAAATTCAAATAATTTTTATTCAAAAATAAACTAGTTATTTGAGTTTAATACTAATTATCTATTCAAACTACAAAGTTTGTAATTTAAAATATTTTGTGAGATCAGATTGAATTAATTCAAGGTTCTTTTCAATTAATATTCATGACCATATTACGCATTTTCGAACATTCTAAACCAAATATATAAAAATGGGAGACGAATGTTAAATTTGCTAGACATGGGGGAGTTGTCTGCAAAGTTTTAGCTCTTATCTCTAACAAAAAATTAATTTTTAAAAAAAAGACCGAATACGTTTCACAGCGAGAAAAAAATAAAAGGCAAGATAGAATTTTCTAGACATAAAGAAGTTGTCTACCAAGTGTCAGCTCTTATCTCTAACAAAAAATTAATTTTTAAAAAAAAGACCGAATACGTTTCACAGCGAGAAAAAAATAAAAGGCAAGATAGAATTTTCTAGACATAAAGAAGTTGTCTACCAAGTGTCAGCTCTTATCTCTAACAAAAAATTAATTTTTAAAAAAAAGACCGAATACGTTTCACAGCGAGAAAAAAATAAAAGGCAAGATAGAATTTTCTAGACATAAAGAAGTTGTCTACCAAGTGTCAGCTGTTACTTCTTCTCAATACTGATATAAAATAAAAATCTTTATTATTTATTTAACCTTTATTGTTTCATTAAACTTCATTTATTTTATATTATAGTTTTATTCTTTTAGCTACTTGTAAAATAATCTAATTTTATATCATCATTTTACCGGATTATTCTTCAGTGCATCGATTGTGTATCTAAAATAATATCATTATCCTTATTCTGTTTTTTCCAAAATTCTTTTAAATATCTTTTTTGGTTAGATTACTTTATACTTTTTACTTTTATTTTATAATTTCAAAAAAATTTGGTGATTGTTCTATTCTGTTACAATGTGCATTATCATATTCTAATGAATTATTCATTACATACATTTAAAAAACTTGTTAAAAATGAAATTAAAAATTATGTTTATTATTACGCTGTGAATGTGTCAACAGCGGTCATGCCTGTATCTGTATCCCATATTTGCCACAACCTTTCTGTATCTGCATTTGTGTATTTCGGTTTCAGCTGATACATTTGATTTGGCGTGTAATTTGTTCCAGTTAATGGATTAATTGGGAGATCTTCATGCGGTGTGTTATTATTGTACTCCCAAATAAAGGCAGGAATAGCCTGAATGCTTTGGCAGCGCTCCAATGTCGGCCAGAATCTCTCAATCTTCCCATTTTGGTAGGGAGAATGAGAGTCTGTATGCCGCCATTGGACGCCCCAAAGATCAAGTAGATCTTGAAAGGCGCCCCTATTTTCTGAACCGTTGTCGGTCCAGAAACAATAAGGGGCGCCAAATTCAATGAAGGCGGAAGCCGCAACGTTCGCTGTCGTCGCTGCCAGCATATCTGGTATTTGTATACACGCTAGGACTTTGCGGCTAAAATCGTCGATTATGCCATAATATATACTGGCCACGAACACCCCTAAAATAATGAACATCTGCGTGCCAGATAAGATTGGGTGAAAGCGCCCAATATCTTACTGCTGTTTCTGGCCCGGCATGCTCTAATCGCGTCTTGGTGAAATGATTTTCTTTGAAGTATCTGCGTACTTCTCTATAAGATACATCAATTTGTTGTAATTTCAAACGTTTCCATTGTTTTGTTTGACCACAGGGAAAGGTCCAGTGGTCATGTATCACAGCAAGAGCTTTGATTTGGTCGTAGGGATTGACCCTACGACCTTTCTTGCCTTTAGGCAATGGGATATTCTGTAAGCTAAATTGATTTTGTAAAAAAGATTTTGAAACATCTAAATATTTGAAATCATTTGATTGAAGGGTTGGGGCGATGGGAACATGGGTGCAAGCTTCTTCCCATGTCATTTTACCTTCTTCAATCTGATTGGAAATACCAATTAGGTAAATTAGTTAGTATACAAGTCTTGGGTACGGCGGCACTGCGTTCCACCTTACCCAATACTTGTGAATTTGACACTTTACAAAGCCGCCAACCACTTCACTAACAAACTTACTAATGTAAAAAATAAACGTTCTCACTATCGTTCTCACTAACGACTTCACTAATGTTCTCATAAATTTTCCTCAATATCTTCATCATCAGTGTTAACCCTATTGTAGTCATACTTGAAGCCATAAACTTTCTCTAACTTCTTAACGTACAATTTACATAACTTACCTTCATCATCGTATGGTTTAATGATATAACTATTTCTATCTTTATACACAGTCAATGAAAAGTCAACTGGTCTCGGATGTATTTGAAAGAACATGTTATGCTCAGGAAGGAAGAATAAATGTTTAAATGTATGTTTGTTATACTGTGGAATTCGAATGAGTTGCTTTTGTTCTGTCATTTATATAAAAATAAAATAAAAAATAATTTTAAAAATTAATGATATCACCACCCTCACACGTATGAAAACATAGCACAAAAATAAATTTAGGTGAAGTGGTGAGATCTCACCTCTTTTTTCACCTGTTTTTTCACCCTGTTGAATTCATTGCTTTATAACTCTCTTCCTTTCTCCAACTCTTCTAGCTTCTTCCTAAGTTTAGCAATGTTGTCCTCATGAAGTTTAATCTTTCTCAAAATTCCTTCTTTATCTAATGGTTGCTTTATCTTTCTAAACTGAACTCTACCATCCTTCATAGTATGAATGTAAAAACCTTCTGGAATAGTTCCTGATTTAATGTATTCTACCAAAAACTTTTGTTTCATTGCTTCAGTGACTTTATTTGTCATTTCAATCAAATAAAAATTTTAATATTAAATAAAAATAACGTTATTTTTTCAGTAAGGAAACGCAGGAGTTTTACGATTTATTTGAGGAGTAGGTTCTGGTTTAAATGTTGGAGTCGGTTTAGGAGTTGACTTTTGAACAGGAGTTTGTACTTCCATAGGTTCAGGAGTCATTGAAGGTTTTGCTTGTGAAGGTGTCGGAGTTTGTTTAACTTCAGCTACTTCAGTATTATTTACAACATTTGCTTTATTTCTTTTCAACATCATAACTGCTCCTGCTGTAGCTAGCAAACCTAGTGGGAGACCATATCTTATATAAGGACTTGACCAAATGCTATTTTTGACAGGAGCTGGTGGAACACCTAACCTTGGTGAGACTGCTCTTTGCCATTGTGCAGCTCATAAGAAATATTCAATAGGTGCTCCATAATCGTTTGGTAAAGTTTGTTTCATAGATGGTGAAGGTTCACGAGAGCTTGATGAAGAACTCATTTATAAGCTTTAAAATAAACGTTCATCCTTTATTCCTCACTGTCGTCCGCAGCTAAGTTATAGTCATCTAATCTTATTATGGGGATGCCATTAGCACGCACCTGAATGGCAAAGCAACAATCCCTCATAAATCCAATAAGTGGCTTAGGTACATTTTCAGTTGCTAGTTCAATAGGTCCTTTAACAGACAATTTGTATGTTATTGGAGCAGTAGATGTTTGACCTTGCTGGAAGCAAAAGTCCACTTCTGTTGGAAAACCACATAAGAAATGTGTGTTGTCATAGCTATCCCATTTATGTTCCACACTACCATCATCCACCAATGACCTCATAACATCTTCATTAAATCCTATCATATCATTGTTTGTATTGCAAGCGTTCGCAACCATTTCATAAAATACAGGTCCATATGATTTTTCTGGTTCTGCAGGTATATTTCCATAAGCTCCCATGGAAAGCTGAAGATATTTAAACTTAGGGTTCTCAAAATTAACATAATAGTTGTCTTTCTTTCTAAATAGTGCCCAAATACTTTTAACATTAATAGGCGTATAAGCTGCTGTAAATGTTGCACTTGAACTATCTGTATTCTTTGAGAATGAACGTCCATAGGAATCCAATCCATAACTTTAACAGGAAAACATAAAGCCTCGTTTGTATAATGTTCTACAAGTTCTGTATAAATGTTAGGGTCTAAAGAGAATGACTTTGGATGAATGAAACATTCATTAAAATCCATCTTTGTTCGAAATAGTTGCTGGGTTACAGTTGTAATAGTAACTGTTCCACTAGCTTCTACTGCCTTCGTTATCATAGTGAATGGTTCATTCCATGGAACAAATTTATTTGTCGGTGGATTTGAATCTGAAGCAAATGCAACTTTAAGAGTTGGATTGAAAGCAATGATATCATTTACAGATATAGATGTGCATTGTAAGGCGTCGCTACTGAACTTTACTTTAAGCTGAATGTTTCCTGCAAAAGCTGGAATAAATCGAATAGCTTCTAATGGAAGGAATCTTCTAACAGGAATTCTTAAACGAAGCTTAAAATCAAATGATTTTCCTGCTGTAATTGGACCACTAACAATTTGTCCTGTTCTGCATGTTCCCGAATGACTCCATACATCTTCATGTCGAGTCTTTGAGAAAACATCTACTTTCTTTATTTGTTCGGTAGTTTGTGAGTTTGAAGTTATATATGCTTCTTCTCTTGCGTTGTCTTGAGAATATACGATACGACCATTTGCAAGGATTTGATATCCAGCAACTGCATAGAACGTCATCGAAACCAATCCAAAATCCTGGTGGGTTTGTTTTATTGGAACCTGAACCAATTTCTTTATCTACAATAAATTGACCTTCCATTTTATACGTAATGAATGTATTGTAAAGGTCCAACATATTTTCACCAGGAGGTGAGAGATTGAATGTTACCCATGTGTTATCTTTAGCAGTTCCAGGTTGTGATGGAATCTTTGCGTCAGAATATTTTCTATTAGTGTCACCAATTTGAACTGCATTGTCTATGATATCGAAATATGAGCGAATCTGATGAATATGCTCTGCTGGAGTAAATTCGTTTAACTGTTCGTTCTGCATGTATTTACTTCAGATAAAAATATCTATTTACTTCATTATTCTCACTCTTCTTCTTGGCATTCGTGGTGGAAGTTGTTTCTTGACATTTTCAATGAACTGTACATTCTCTTTTGTCTCAACTTCTTTCACTGGCGGGTCAGGGTTCTTTGACTCGGTTTGTTTTTCAATGAAATTCACGAACTTTGCAATAAGCTCTTGGTTCGTTATTGAAAGTACATCTGGCTTCTTTTCTTCTGGTTCTATTGGTGGCTCAGTTTGAACAGAAGGTTTTATATGGGCTTCGTGGACTTCACCCTTGTCATGCACCTTAATGTTGTCGCTTTCTGCATTCGCTAATGGAACCTTTCTTTTTCTTACATATATTTTACCATCTTTACTCTGACTTACGTAATAGAAAGGATGTTGTATTCCTCTTGCGTCATTTAATATAATAGACTCTCGCTCTGATTTTGACAAGCTTATTTTACATCGGTTAAAGTTTTAATTTTGTTTTTTATCTGCAGTCAAATGACTCAGACAAGCCCTACGGACAAGACCCAAGGGGTCATAGATGTTGAAGCATTGAAGAAAGAAATTCGTGAGCAAATTTTATCCGAACTGAAGGAACAAAAACAAGAACAAAAGCCAGAGAGACCAAAGAGAAAACTTAGTGAAAAACAACTTGCTGCATTAGCTGCTGGAAGACAAAAGAACCCACGTTTGCTGGCGAAGAAAGCTAGAGAAGAAGCTGAAGCAAAGAAAGAGTAAATGGTTTATTTTTATCGGAACTAAATGTATAGACAAATACCTTTATCTGTTGCGTTCAGTAGTGAAAACCCTGACGTCAAAATAAAGGGGAACAGAGTAACGTTTAAGTTTCCAACAGACTGGATTGTGAACATAAATGAAGAGAAGTACATTGGCATAACAAATATGTATATAACACGTGCTTTCAGAAAGGTTGACTTTATACTTCAAGTCGAGATAGAAAATGACGAACAGTCTTTTAGCGCCCAAAACATTCACATATACAAATACTTTAAAGACGATACAACATTGTTGCAATGTATGATTTCATTTAATGAGATGTTCGAGAAAAAGTTCAACATTGAAGTACCAACTTTACAGCCTTTACGTGAGTTTCTTGCACAACTGAAAGAAGAAGGTAGTCAGCCACAACTTATAGACTTTCATTATGAATTTAATGAAAATGAAGATGGAACACATGACTGTCAGTTTGTTGTATTCTCACCATTCAATGAAGTCGCTAAAAAGAAAGAAAATCCATTACGTATAAGATTTCAAATCTCTGAACCAAGTGATGATTTCAAAAATGTTTTCAATTATGATGCAATGCTTCCGAGGAAAAATGAATTTTCAAAGATTGTAACACCTGGCATTTGGGATAGAAAGCAAGCTATATTATATTCAAACTTAAGTAAGGGAGTTGAAAATGAGTTCATTGGTCATACAAGAACTACACCACTGCCAAATCCTAAATACTATAAATTAACTGGCTTCAATCGTGAGTTTTGGGTAGACATGTTCTCCACTCATGACCATAACTGCCCAGTGTTCTTACCTCCAGACCATAAGGACTGTCTCTACATTGAAGCACAACTCTTAAACTCTACCATCGCAGTATTGTAAATGACCACATGGGCTTCGCCCTTGCCGCTAGCGGCTTATTTTTATCATGAATGGTCTCACTGCTGACAAAAATATATGACCTCATTATTTTTATCACGAATGACCTCAGAACTTCAACTTACGAATAAAGCTTGTTTTAGTCGTTATTGAGAAGTTAAACTTTTCAGCAAAGCAAGGACTAGAAGACTTACATAAGTCAAATCCAATCTCTTGACCGTCATAAAGTGCTTTGTAAAGTTTCATTAAACTGAACTCAGAGTCTTTGTCATATGTTCCAACAGGTATGTGAATGTTCTTATCTTCATTGTAATAGCATTGTATAGCTTCAGGAAACATTTCATTAGCTGTTAAAGCAAGAACGTCTTGTTTTACACCTTTACAACGTGCATGAAATGCAACTTCATTTAAATCATTCGTGAGTAAGTCTATGTAAGTCTTCTTTCCACAAAATATTGACTTGTATGCTAAACTTTGTTTTCCAGGTGTTATTTCTGCGAAGTCAGAATGAAAATGACCAAGGTTCTTTCCTATAAGTTCGCGACCGTATCTCTTCTTAAACTCTGTTGCAAGCTTTGGTATGTCTTCATTGAAAATATGCATGCTATCACAGTCCTGGTAAAATATTTGAAGTCCCATATCTTCAGCAGTACAGAATACTTCACACATTATTCTCTTCGACATAGACAGAATGTTAACACCAAGTGGACAGAAGTTAAAGTGTCTGCAAATGCTTTTCGTTAGCTTGAAAATAGTTTTATCTGAACCATCCAAACCTTCGAACTTCACTATATGGTTGTAGTTTCTGATGGCATATCTTATAGCATCTTTGTCATTTACTATGGTTATTTTTGACTCAATAGGAGATAGAATAGTTTTGCCATAAATACTGTTCAGAATGAGCTTTATATTTTCTTGCAAAGGATTTCCTTCTTTCTTATACTTTAACCTTAACTCAAACAACTTCTTTACTTCATCTCTTATTCTAATATCTCTGTTTCCATCGTAGTAATATCCTTGCAACACTTCACATTTGATACCTTGATATTTTATAAGGTCTTGTAATGTTATATGGTCAACATACATGAGACAGCAAGTGTTTGAACTTCTGGGAACGTTAAGTTCTGGATTTAGTTCAGGGTCGCAAACTATTAAAGGAAAGTGTCTATGTATTCCAATCTCTGTTATCTTAATGAGAACAAAGAAGCCAGACATAAACTTTTCACCAATGGGTTCCTTTTGGTCGTCATCGAATAAATGTCTCATGAGATACTCTGTGCTTAACATTTCTTTCTTCATAACCTTTGGAATACCTTCTAAAGTATAAAGTCTTGCTATAGCTGATGGATATAATGAAACAGCGTCGAAATCAGCAATGAGTTTCTTTTCGCTCTTTTGTTTCATGTTATCTGACAGCATACATCTTCCACCTTGAATACAGCGTGAAATAAATTCTCTTGGTTTATTTGGTAATGTGCAAAGATACTTCCAGAACTGACCGCTTCTCTTCTTATAAAACTTCTTTTCACCATTATCTTTCCAAAAGCTTTCTATAAGTGCTGGGTTTCCTGTTTGCTTAAGAGCTTCCAAAATGGCTTTCTGGTCATTTGTCAGTGTGCTTTCATCTCTATATGGTCTCTTTTTTGGTTTGCCTTTCTTTACATCTGACATTGTTAAGCCTTCATATTCTGTTAAATCATACATCTTTATTTCAGTAAGATTCTTTATGTTTGTCAAGAAGAAGTCATAGTGCATTTCAACAATACCTGCAGCATTTGCTTCTATCTCTGATATAAAGTTCTCCTTCAAGAGCTGATGTAGTAATGTTCCAATATTATTGAGGTTTAACGTAGAACATTCATACTTTCCACCAAGTTTATAACATACCATCCATCTTTGTTGGGAGTTTATTTTAATCTTCTCTAAGAGTCTCATGAAAACCTTACCGAAATGTTTGTGTAAGTAGTCTCTGTTTGGTTCATCTAAAGCTTCGATGTTAAAGTCAATGAGTCTATTGCCTGACTTCACATTTCTCTTCCTATTCTCTTCATCTTTCTTTAACCATCTCTCACCTTCTTTTGGTTTGTCGTCAATGGAACGAATGACATCGTTAGCTTTGCGAACTTGTTCTATAGCGCTCTTGAACATCTCTCTTCTCTGTTGTTTCAGTGTGTCGTCTCTTCTTCTTGTTTCACCAACGTTCGCATTTGTTATGTCAAACATTTCTCTTCTTACTTCATGAGGTACTGAACGTCTATGATATAAGTCAATAGCAATGTCATTTAAAGGAAATGCTCTTGCATGGACTTCGTCCTCGCCGCGTTGCGGCTTTATGAACTCATGAATTCTATCATAACTTATTGCACCATTGTAGTCATTGAGGATGTCAGCGAGTGCTTTTTTGTTTGTTGCGTAATGTTTTGCAACATCTATATTAGCTTCTGTAAGAAGTTGTTTTATTTCCGAGTGTTCTAACTTAGACAACTTCCGATACATCTTTAGTAGGAAATAAAAAAATATTTTTTGAAAAAATTAGATTAGATTTTTTTAAGTTATTTTTCAAAATAATTTAATATTTTTATTTTAATGAAACACATGCAAGATTGCAAGTTCTTTTCATACAATGCTCTCGCTACTGCCATCAAGAATGAGTTCAATAATGCTTCAAATGTTAATGTTATCTTTAACAAGAAGTTTGTGAAAGAATCTAAGTTTGGTCAGTATGTCAGACCATTAGCTATCGTCATTGACCGCAAACGTTATACTTCACAAGAGTTAGCAGTAGTTTTGAAACAAAAGAGTTTCTTCGTGAATGTCAAAGATACTCATTATACTGTCATAAAGAACTCTAACATTGACTTCTTCAGTATTGCTTTAAATCTTTCCGAACAGAAAGAATATAAGAAGGGTGAAACAAATGTGAAATATTATCCTTCATCTCTGAAGACAATAACGAACAAAGATGTTATACAGAAATTCTTACCAAAGGTTGAAGAAGCTTCTATTGACATTGCCGAAGGAAGTGAAATGGTTGAAGAAATAGACCCTGAAGCTTTATAAGAAAATTTATTTTTGAAGAACTGAAGGTGTCACTACGTCACCATGTGTCACTCGGTTAATTAACTTCTCTGAAAAAATGAGACAACATGACATCACATTTTGACGAAGTGCAAATCTTCACTTCGTGTCAAAATGCAAAAATAATGCTGAAAAATGAAATTTATTTTTGAAGAACTGAAGGTGTCACTCGGTTAATTAACTTCTCTGAAAAAATGAGACAACATGACATCACATTTTGACGAAGTGCAAATCTTCACTTCGTGTCAAAATGCAAAAATAATGCTGAAAAATGAAATTTATTTTTGAAGAACTGAAGGTGTCACTCGGTTAATTAACTTCTCTGAAAAAATGAGACAACATGACATCACATTTTGACGAAGTGCAAATCTTCACTTCGTGTCAAAATGCAAAAATAATGCTGAAAAATGAAATTTATTTTTGAAGAACTGAAGGTGTCACTCGGTTAATTAACTTCTCTGAAAAAATGAGACAACATGACATCACATTTTGACGAAGTGCAAATCTTCACTTCGTGTCAAAATGCAAAAATAATGCTGAAAAATGAAATTTATTCCTTTATTTAAGAATGTTTGAACTGGTCCCGAAAGGAGGTCATGCAAAGTTATTTCTTCCTCCTCCTCTGTTTCATTTATTTTTGGTTAGTCTTCATATCGATATTTTACAACAATTCCCCAATGTATAAACTTTTCATACGCTTTTTCATAAGCTTTATATACCTTCAGAAATTTGCATAATCTTTAGAAGCATTTAGATATTGTTTAAATGCTTTGTATGTCTTCAGAAATTTTGCATAATCTTTTACATGTTGTTCGTTCTCTTCTTCTGTCATGAGTTCCGAATATTCTAAATTCATGTTCTTTCATATGAGATAAAATTTTATAAAAAAATAAAATTAGCATAGATTTTTTTATTCTTCCTCTTTGAAGTTATCGAAATATTCTGTTATTTTTTCCTTCAGTAATGTTAAGTCTTCTTTGAATGTAAGTATTGTGCAACCTTTGATGTCATAGTGTGTTTGAGGAAGAGTATTTTTGACAATTTCCTTTATTTGCTCATTCGGTGTCATTGAAATCGGTAAGTTTTCACGATAGAACCAGTTTCTGTCAGATTTATATATTTTAGCTAAGTCATAAAAGCTCTTGTTGTTTCTTCTGACTAAATGCAACATAACCATATCTTTATCTTCTTCATTTTCCATCTCTTCAGTATATATCATATACTTATAACTCTTTTCCTTTCCTTTTGGTACTGAACGCGGTATTCTTTTCTGTATGCTTTTGTCTTTGGATTCAATGACTTCATCTTTTGCTTGAAGTTTCTTTTCCATCTCTCCACGTTCTGCTTTATATAGTTCATCTAACATCATGAAAATATAACAAGCATAACGAGGTGAAGCCCACATTGCTACAGCATTTACTAAAAGTCTATGAACATAATAACCTTTCAAACCAGGAGCCAAATTCTTGCGATTTTCGTACGGAATCTCTTCCCCGGTTTTCCGAGGGAAGCAATCATATGAGGAAATTCTTCTAAAAGTTCTTTTGTCTGTTGGTTTTCAAACCAATGATATGCTTGCTTTGTAGAACGAAGAGCATTCATTATACTTTGCATTTGGTACATGTCATCTTTGACTGAACGAATGAGACGTAACTGTTTGTTATACTGTATGTACTCGTATTCTTCATTTATAGCTTCATGAACGATAGCAATTGTTGTGTTCTCTGATGTTGACATTACTGTCTTTACATACAAAATAAAAAAAATTGTTAGAAAAAAATTAGCGTTATTTTCTGACTTTCACAAAAGACCAAAAATAAACGCTTTACATGTATTTTTCAGCAACTTCGTCAAATAATTTTATAGCTTTATCTATCTCATCTACTTCAAACGTTTCTTTACCTTTCGTGGGAGCACCATACATTTTCTCAAAAACTTCAAGCAGTTCTGTTTCAGCAGCTCTCATATCATTAACAAACACAACCTTGACTCTATTGACTGTACTGTCATATCTTTGAGTTATATTATATGTTCTTCCTATCTTATATCTCTTTGTATTGAAGTCCTTCGGTTTCTGAACGATGTAAAGTAAGCCTTCACTGCAACGTTCCGTATCGAATGAACCATAAGTTATGAAGTTATATCCAACAACTGGGTCTAACCATAACAAAACTATTGGTATAAGACTTTTGTCAATGAGATATGCTGTAGTTCCATAGAATCTTACCGATATCATAAGCTCAGGATTTCTTGTCAAAATTTTCTGAGTTGAAGCATTTCTAACCCAGTGGTTTGTTTTCTTTTCAGATGGAGATATAATGTCTGACAAAGAATATTTGTTGTATTTCTTACAGTATCTTACGTTTAAATCACCTATTCTAACCACTTTGGTGTCATTGTCAATCTTTCTAACTGTTTCAAACTCAATGTTTGACATTACTGTCTTTACATACAAAATAAAAATTTTTCTTAGAAAAAAATTAGCGTTATTTTTCTAACTAATGAAATTCATGAAATTTGGTCATTTTTCAGACAAAAATAATGTTTAGGGTAGATGGTTAGATCTAACCTGATATCTACCCTCATTTCTACCCTCATTATTTATAACCGTTTTACATGGTAAACGTTATGAATTCGTGAGATTCTAAACAATTTCGTAGCTTCTATTTCTTCTTTTAGTACATCAAAAGTTTTAACAATGCCGAAGGTTTCTTTATATTTCTTCTTGACGTCAGACAGAAGGAAATCTTCTGCTGTTGGATAGTTTTTATTAAGAAATGTCAACATATCCATTTTATCTTCTGCTGGCTTTTCTGCTTCTTTCTTTAAGTCTGCATAGTCGTTTCTCATTCGTTCTATCTCTTTGACGGAGTAGTTATATTTCCTCATTGCTGCTTTACATTTTGAACATTGCGGATTCATTTTTGCGTTATACATTGAAATAAAACCAGCTAGAACAACTAAGGCGTCAATAGTTTTCTTTAACTCAAAAGCTGCTGGTCTTATCTGTTCATTCCATACTTTACCTCTTCTATCTTTATCTCTTATCTGCCATACACATCTTGCAACTAATGTAACAAAGTTATCGTATGTCTTAAATTCTTCGGATTTATATATGTCAGAGATGTTCTTATAAACCATATCGCAATCTTTGTCCATAACTTTATGGTTGCAATGAAAACCAAGGAATTCATAATTTACTTTACGTATGAATTTCTTAATTTCTACTGAGTCAGTTGCTTTGACTTCAATTTCGTCGAATTCAGGAATAGTTAGTTTTTGTTGTTGGATTTCAGGGAATTTGGGTAAATGGTCAATAATGTCCTGCATGTCATAAAGATATTCTTCATTTGTTTCATCTTTCGCACTACAGTCTAAATTACTTGTTAAAAGTTCTTGCTTTATCTTCTGGATTTCTGTTTCAAAAGTATATGAAGAAGGAATAAAGCTTTTCATCTCTATCAACATTGACGTAGGATTCATGACTAACGAGTTTGGTGCTGTAGTTGTTTGAATTGTTGTTGTGCCGATTGTTGAAATCATATCTTTTATACAAAATAAAAAAATAAATAAAAATAAAACTAACTTTATTTTTTCTGTCTTAAGGAAATTCATGAAAATTCATGAGGGTAGAAATGAGGTTAGATCTAACCATCTACCCTAAACATTATTTTTGCTGAATTCAGCAACAAAATGAACGAGGTCAGGATGTATGTAAATACCTTTGAATTCATTTATAACGCCCTTAGTAAGCTCATAAAATGCTTGTTTTGAGGTGGAGCCAAAAGTGGCTCGACCGTATTCTTTCAACCAAAACTCAAGAATTTCCTGCATGAATTTTGTATAAAAAGCAACCGTCTGAATTCAGACTGTTGCTATATTCTTCACAAAATGCCTTATAATACTCTTCCCAGGACTTATTTTCCAACAACTTTCTAAAGTCTTTCCTAAACTGACTGACTGACGGCACAAAGTGGCTTAACGAAAACATTAATATATAAAATTCATGAATTTTCACGAGGGTGAAAAAACAGGTGAAAAACGGGTGAGATCTCACCTCTTCACCTAAACATTATTTTTGGTGTAAATTTATGAAAACATTAATAATACATGACTGTTCTCATTCATGTCTGATTTACATCTAATGAAAAAGTTTAGAAGAATTTTCTTATTCTTTCTGGCATATTTTTGTCTTTCCAGTACTCCCGCTCTAATGGTCCCAGATGTGTTGGCTTTGACTCTCTCAAGTTCTTAGATGGTATAACATCTTCAACGCCTCCTGCATATCTTACTTTATAAGTGTCATCGTTTATGTTATAGCCAAGTATTTCAATAACCACTCCTCGCTTTGCTTCGTCAATGGTTTCAGCAAGTTTGCCATTACTACTTTCAACTAATATATGTCGAGGGTAAAATGCAATGGAGTCGTCGGCAGCTTTTATAAGATATCCATTACCTTGCGTAGAGTCTACGATATAATAGTTTCTACTTAACCTTAAACGTTTCTTTGTCAACGGCTTGTCGTCAAGAACTACACGAACTTTTGTAGCAGGAATGAGGGTAAATTGTGTTGAATTTCTGATATTTTGTGTTTGGCTTCGTTTCTTTTGTATATACTTTTCTTCTTGTTGTTGTGTCATTGAATTTGGTGTATGTCCTGTTGTAGAATGTGTTGAGGAATTATATACTTCGAGAAAGTGTTTCATTGTTTCTTCGGTAAAGTCTCGCTCTTGGTTTAAATCTCTGAGCGTTCTTATGAAGCGGTTTATGATGCCGAGTATGTTATGGTTATGGTCTTCAGTAGTGTAGTGAGTTATGTTATGCTTAATGAGAAAATCTGTGATTTCATTGCTGAGGTATGCACTGTCTTGGTCTGATGTTAAAGTACTTGGGTTATGTTCTGCTACAAACTTTTGTAAAACTCTTAACACTTCACGAGTTCCTTTATTTTTCATTGGATATGCATATGCTTTACGAGTGTTAACATTAATGAAGATGAGGAATGGTTTATGTCCTCCTTTTCTGCTTTGAATGAGAGTGTCAAATTGGTATGCGTCAGGAGTGTTGGAGTAAATTGGTAAAAAGTAGTCGTAAGGGTTTATTTTTGTTTGATGTACAACATTTTTGTCAAAGAACCTTTTCACTTCAGCTCTGTTAGTAAATCACCAACTCTTTGCAGCTTCATTGAATTTCTTAAATGACCTCCATGGATGTTGTTCGAATACTTCTTTCAAGCTCATTTATGTAAAGTTAAAGATTTTATTCTAGGCTCAAGCGCGTTCATTGAACGCGGTACCATGCGAATATAGTCACAAATGGTGGCATGTAATCTGCACCCGAACCTGTTGGATTTGTTGTGAAAGTGTGTGAATGATTTCCTGCGGTTCCACAGAAAATACCTGCGCCTGAATCTACTGGGTCACTTGAAATATCATATCTATTCATTCCCTGTCTATCCGAACCTGCTGCAAGATTTGTATAACCTCTTTTTGTTATTGAATGTGAATGACTACCTGTTGTGTTTGTAGTTCCTGTATGAGTGTGCGGTGGAAGGTTTGCTTCTTTAATTTTCTTCGAACCTCCTGTTTGCTTTGAATATCTAGCACAGTATAAGAATTTATCTACAATCTGCTTCCACGTACCAAAACCTAAAACTGTTTCTGGATTTGTTGAATTCATTGACGTATAAATAGAACCAACAGGATATAATGTTTGAAGTATTTCAGTCTTTAATGTTTGAAGCTCTGTTTTGTCTGCTTTCTTATCTAACATTGTTGGTAGTTCATATGCTTCAAAGTTTCTGGCATGATCTTCGATATTCCTGCAACTGTTATCTAAATTGTTTAGTGTATCTTTTACGCTTGTACTCGGATTCTCTAAAGGTGCACTTGAACCGAGGGTATAGTTCAATATTATGTCGTCTGCTCTAACAGTAGTGAAGGAGTTATGTGTATGGTTCTTGTCAGCTTTCTTATCTAACATTGCTGGTAGTTCATGTGTTTCAAAGTTTCTGACATGACCTTCGATATTCATACATTTGTTATTTAAGGAGTTTAGTGTATCTTTTACGCTTGTACTCGGATTCTCTAAAGGTGCACTTGAACCGAGGGTATAGTTCAATATTATGTCGTCTGCTCTAACAGTAGTGAAGGATTTATGTGTATGGTTCTTGTCAGCTTTACTATTTAATGTAGCTTGAAGTTCATTTATATCGGAGATATTGTGTTTATGAGATTTCAAAACTTTGTTCATTGCTTCGAGTTCATCTTTGCTGGCTTTACTTTTAATAGCATCTTCAAAAGTTATTTTTGACTTAACTCTCAATGTAAATCTTGGTTCAACTAATACACCGTTAACAGAGAAGTATGAAGCATAAATTTCATCGTTATAACCAAATGCTTCTGGTGCTTTACCTGTGTCATACTGTACAGTACAGTGTATGTCATAACCTTTAGCACGAATGAATTTATATCTTCTTTCATTAACATCTTCAGTGCTTATTTGTTCATCCTGTGTTAAATATCCATGGTAGTCCGTTATAATCTGTTCGTCTGAACTTATATAATGAACATGGTTCTTGACTTTATCACTCAGAGCTAAAAGCTCATTTTTGTCTGCTTTTTCGGCTAATTTCTCATTAACATCATTCACTTCTAATTCAACTCTTCCGCCAGAACTCTTATTATCATTAATCTTTTTCATTAATTCGGTAATTACGTCATAAAGACTATATTCTGTTTTCGGTTTTGTAAATAATGAGTCAAAATTTCTTTTCATCATTACATCGCTGACATTAATGATATCACCAATTCCTTTTTCATTTATTCTCTTCATTAGTTCTGCAATAATGACGAATATATAATCTGTTAATTTATTCTCTTCATCGAGGGTTATAGAATGTTTTGAAATTGAATCATTAACTCCTCTAAATAAATCAATAACTTCAGGATACACGTTTTTAATGTCTCGAATAACCCGACCAGTATCCTGTTGTTCATGTTCTTCGTTCCCGTCGTTACGTGGTTTTATATCTCTAACCATCATCAACGCAGCCATAACCGGAGGGTTTGTTGCTATCTGTTCGAAAATCCGTCCGTTATGTACAGTATATCTAAATAATTTCTTTGTGTTTGTTAAAACATTTGAAACAAGTCTTTTAAAACCATCTACAAAATTTCCTGTTTCACCTAATGTTCTTGCAGCATTTACAAGCTCACCCATTCCAGCTTTTGACCCCAAAAACGTCCATATTGCATTTATTTCACTCTGTATAGTTGTCCATTCAGCGAAACTAACACCCGCATTCGCTAAGCTGAAAATGAAATTCAGTGGATCAAACTTAATTCCACCTTCTTTTTCAATTTCAACGAACTCACTAACATGAGATTTTAAGTATTCTTTCGTTAAAATTGTTTTCCCCGATGTTATGTCATTAACGAAACTATCACCGTCAAAAGTTAACGAATTCAATTTCGTCGTTGATGCTTTTATTTCATACACCGCTTTATCGATAGTTTTTGGCTCACCTTCTTTAGAAGCATATGAAACATTAATGAATGAATTATATGTATTCGTGAATGAATTAAAATCAATGATTTTCATTAATGACGCCTTTAATGATTCATTTACTGTCGAATCCCTTAAAGTAATTAATGAACTGTCATTTATGAAAGGTACACTGCAAACCGTCGAGTTTGGATCAAATGCTGTAGTTGGTGCAGGAATATTAATGATATAAGTCATTAAATCATTAAGTGACGTAAATAATGTTGTCGTTTTTGATTTAATTTCTTTAGCATCTGTTATATATGGTAATTTTATTTCTGTAGTTTCTGAATTAAAGATATTCGCTAAAATGTTTTTAAACTGTTTTGAACAGCTGTGTAAACCGTTGAATCCGGAACTCTTACGATTTCACCGTCCTTAATAAAAGGCATTGCACATGGTGTAGTGCTTGGGTCAAATCTTTTTGGGTTATGATTCAACATATATTCTAATGCTTCATAAACAGACCTATATACGGTTGTATTATCTTTTTCAATAATTTCACCGTCCTTTATAAACGGCATAGTACATGGAGTTAAAATAGGGTCAAACTTTTCATAGTCCTTCCATGTTATGTATTTCTCAGTATTTCCATCAGTGATAACAATATATTTGTCAGTAAGTGTGAGAGAGTATTGACCAAAATATAAACGTTTAGCTCTGTCAGCTTCATACGCATATGCAGCTATACTCATATTTTAATGAGAATAAAATGTTTTCTATTTGCAAAGTACAGACCCAAACGAATACGGGACAGTAAAGCTACAAACAAACTTAGGTCTACAGAATGAGGCGCTTGCATTCAGAATGGTTGACTTCAATACTATCGCTTCATTCGTTATAACAGATGAAACAGATTTCATGGAGATTGAAATAGATGGAAAGAAGCACGAAATAAGATTTCACAATAATGTAGAATATAAGATGGAAACATTAGCTGGAGTGTTAAATGCTCTCATAAATACTACAATAAACAAGGATAATGAAGAAAACTTAATGAATGTTAAACTTATTGCAGGAGTTTTGAAGTTCAGTTATGCGAAGGAGTTTAAGATACCAAGAATGAGTCATAGAGTACAACTTCTTTTGGGTGCATACCATATGACATTTCCTTTGAAAAGTGTTGACAAAACGATTGAGATGAAATCTGTTCCATACGTATGTTATGGTAATTGTTTATACATTGAGTCTAAAATAGCTAATGTCACAGGCATTTCAGGAGTTAATAGTAAAGGTTCAGTAGAATATAAATCCTTCTGTTATGCAGTCAATTCAATGTTCATTCCAAACGTTCCTGTCATAGCAACTCATTTAGGTAAATGGGTTCGCATTAGTCCTCATAATTTGAAAGACATGCAATTCAGACTTGTTGACTTTCAAGGAGAGCCTGTAGAACTGAAGGCACCAGTGCGAATGACTGTTGAAGTTGACTTTTTAGAAAATATTAAATGCAACAGCTTACAAGAGAACTCAGAGCTAAAAATATAAAGTATGAATGTTATGTATTAGGTCATGAACTTTGGTTGTTGCTGTTTGATGAAACAATGAGTTAGTTATGTCAGTCAAGAGAACAGAAAAATATTGTGTTAGTGAAAACTGCACCAAGTCAATAAGATTAGGTTTGCATTATGAAGATGAGTTCGATACTGTTGAAGAAGTTTTGGATAGATATTACAAATTGCTAACTTGAAATTTTTTTGACTGACGGCGCAAAGCGCCAAGATGGGCTCAAAGAGCCCTCCTGACTGCTTTAATTTACTAAAACATATTTCAAACAAAGTTTATATTCTGTTGAAAGTTTTGTATACTCGTTCGAATATTTATACTTAAACTCAACTCCTGTAGTTCCTGGTGTTTCAATGATGCGGATGTTACCTATTTTCATGAATAGTGGAGTTTGACCACAGCATTCGATTTCAGGGTCGAGATAGTCAATGACACATTGTTTCCCTGTTATTCGTGAGATAACATTTTCAAGGTCCTCCTTTGTTAGAATTATTTGGTTCTTGCTTATAAGATTTGTCAAAAGCTTCTTATCGTCTTTGAGTAAAATTGTTTGGTATAACTGAAGAAGGTAATAGTCTACGTTATCTGAAGGATTTGTTTGAACATTTGTGTAAGGATTGTCGTTGGCTTCTCTTGAAAGAATTTGGTCCAGTGGTGGATACTCTAACTTAACATCTGATGTAGCGTTAGCGTTTGAAGCTGAGTTTAAATTCACGGCGCCATGCTCCAAGACCGAAGGTCCCGACTTAAGTTCTGGTTCTTTTTCTTTCAAACACTCCGAACTATAGTTCTTTATGACAATATTGTTTGTCGTTCGTGAGTCAACATTTGATGTTGGTTCAATTGGAACATTAACGGCACCAGCTAAGATGGATTTGCTTCTCATTTCATATAGAATAAAAACCTTTTATATGTATGAAATGAACAATATACTCGACAAGGGTTTGAATGTAAAGCTAACGAATGAAAATATTGTTGAATTCACTGAGACAGGTGCTGTGTATAAAGATGTAGAACTACTGAACAAAAGAGCTAAGGGAAGAAGCAGGAACATGAACAAAGGGTGGAAGCCTATAAAAATTTATGTCAATGATGGCTCAGGAGGTTCAAACATAAAGTATGCAGAAAGTTATAGAGTTTATGCTCTCAAAGGTGAAAAGCCTTCATTTAAGAACAGCTATTCTAACGCATATCCTCAAAAGCTAACGGATGGGGAAGTGGATGATATGAATGACAGCAAAAATATTAACAGAAATGGCGACAGAGATGCATGGAATTTGTTTACCATCAGTCAATTGAAGGTTAAACTTTAAAACAATGTTGGTCGTTCCCATGGAATATTTTTGACTTTAATGGTGTTAGTCATGATATGAATCTCAAGGTATGAACGAGGAGAGATGAGAGACTTATATGCTTCCCAAATTTCTTCAAAAGGTAATGTTATACCTGACTGTTTCCAAATGAGTTCAATATCATAACGTGAGAAACCTTGAAAGATAACGAAGTCAGTTATGAGACGTTTTATGTTTAAAGCTAAAAACCTCCATGTTTGCATAAGTATTGCTACAGTTAAATGGTAATGTCTGACTTTAGTTATGATGTTAGCTAATGGTGAGTCAGGCTTTGAAACTAAACCTTTTCCGGCGAAGTCGTCACAAACTAATAAAGTGTTTGATGGATATTTTTTGAAGGGGTATTTTGAAAGTTTTGACAGAATGTAGTTTGTAAGTCGTTTCATATCGTAAACTCCTGAGTATTGACGTAAGTGGTGTTTGTCAATAATTCTTTCCATCTCCTCAGAAATCTTTTGCATTCCTGACTGTATGAACTCTACGATGGCATAATATTTCCTCTTACGTCGAATGTAACGTTGAAGAAATTCAATGAGTTCACTGTCTGGAACTTTAACGACAGAGGCTTGAACTTTTGACATAAATGTTTTCGCTGTTGAGTCCATAGAGTCTGAAGTTGCTGATATAATGATTTGGTCATAATATGAGTCATTTCCTAAACGTTCTGTTATAAGAATATGACGAATGAGGTTAAATGTCTTTCCTGACCCCATCTTTCCACAATAGAAATAAACACCATTTGAACAGAACTCATAATCTTTGCTGAAAGGAAGAATAAGAGAAGAGTTAAGTTTGTCTGTAGTTTCATTCATGTCTTCATCTACGTCATGTATTAAATGCTTCATTTTATCTCCATTAAAAATGCAAGTCAGAAATATTCAGAACATAGCACCGAGTCTAACTGACAAGAGTATAAAGATATACTATGAACACGTTATGATGAAACCTACCAAAATTCAAGAAAGTCAGTATACTTATGAATATCCAAGACACTGGGTAGAGTATGTAGGAGGTGAGAAAGCTATTGAAATCAGACAAGTTAGAAGTATTCCAGCAGGAAGAACAATATTATTGAAGAACTTTAATGTTTTGAGGTATAATGATAAAACAAAGAAGCAAGATAGTTTCCCTGTTGCTGTGTATGTGAACTTAGATACAGGAGATGACATGAAAGTTTTTAACACAAAGCTTCAAACGGTAGTGAGAGAACAACTGACTGCGGAAGGACATCCATTACCTTCAGAAGTTACCATAGCATATAATTTTGAAACAAACTCAATAGATTTTAAAGTCGTCTCTGCAAAGAAGTCAGGATTTACATTTAATGAAGCAGATGTCTATTCGAATGAAAACTTCAAAGCTATTGCATGGTTAGATAATGACGATTGCTTTAAGAAAATATTTAAATACAGTGACTCAACGATGTCAATAGATGACCTTCGTGGAATGTTACCATCGACGTTTACAGTAGAAGGTTCAGCAGGATTGCTTACAAGATTGTCAATTGGTGGTATTTGGTCTCGTGAGAACATTGTTATAAAATCCAGTATAAGTGAATTTGCTGAAGAATCTATATTATGTCTTTCAAACTATATGTATTCGCCGACGAAGCATTATAGTATAACAAACTTTGTCAGTAAGTTTAACATAAGACTTGTCGAACCTTCTTCAATGAAAGATGTTGTGCTACCCAAAGACGGAAAGGATGGACTCATTATTGAGATGATTTTAATAGCATATTAAATGAGCTTGTTCTTGAAGGTCATTCATGATGAAATAACTGTTGTAGAAGATGTTAGCAATTGTTCAGACATTTTG